GTTGGTTTCCTCTTCTGATCCTAACACAATGCTATCAGCTTTGTTTGAGACTCAACACAGGAAATGGGTGACTGGATCTGAACCGTTTAGTATGTAGACACCGAACAGTTAACACCTTCATATCCTTTATAGGAGAATCACAATCGTACACTTAACAAATCCACAAAGTTTACTCATTCATTTTATTTGTTTGAGTAAGGTACAACAAACTTAACAACAATAACAAAAAAAACAAGGATATGTACTTATGCGGGACCTGATGGTCAGAAGGAGTAGGATGAAATGTCCTGCCCAAATTGTTTTACATAATCACATGGTTGATACTTCATTTTTATTTTATTTTTATTTATATTTTTATTTAATTTTTTATATATATTTTTTTATTTTATTGTTTTTTGTTTACTTTATTTTATTTTATTTCTTAATATGTTATTTTATTTATAATTTAAATGTAATTTATTTGTATATTATTATTATTATATATATATATATATATATTATTATTTATATATATTTTATATTATTTTTTTTTTTTAGGCTATGACCGCTCAGTAATAGAAAAAATTTATAATAGTAAAATGGTAAACATCACATTTTTATTTTATATTAGCACTTTTCCACACACACAATTCACACACACATTCATACATCAGTGTACACAGACAGCACTCATCTATGGGAGCTGGAATCGCACTGCCAACCTGTAAGTCAGTGGACCAATGATGTTTATGTCAAGAATGATATTCAAACCTTCAACAACAACCTTCAGATCAGTGGACAAACGCTCTTACAATATCACGATATTTCGGTTATTGTTACATACCTAGTGTTTATGCGACACATTTGACTGTTTTGAGGATTAAAATGTGCATGTTTCATATTAACTTTGCACAAGAAGTGGTTTGAACAGTGGTGGACCGTGTATTTCACACCTAGGCCTTCAGTAGTAGCATGGGGAAGAAGTGAGAAGAGGGGTGTCTGTGGAGATTCACATGGTGCGGAAGGACATAGTCAAGGCGGGGGCCACTTGTTGTCAAGTGTCCACTTTAACTATAAAGTGCTGTGGGAAACACTGATATCTCCAGTACTGTCTTATAGTGACCTGAGACATGAGGGACCAGGATTGAACAAGGACTGAACCTGGACTAAACCAGGTCTAAACCAGGTCTAAACCAGGTCTAAACCAGGTCTAAACCAGGACTAAACCAGGACTAAACCAGGACTAAACCAGGACTAAACCAGAATTAAACCAGGACATCGGGATGGAACCGGAGGTGCGCCCATATAGACGCGAGTGACTGCAGGCGGAAAAGACCGGTGCAGAGCTCCGCATGATTGGTTTGATTGGTCAAATGCTTTAATATGAAAATACATGTCTGGAAGCAGAACAACCATCGGAAAAACTGTGAAAGGAAGCGGGCAGACCATTTGGAATTATTTAATAATAATATAATTCTGTGATTCAGATATTTTTTGAGGCCAGCAGAGAAGGCCTTGCAGGCCCGGACGGTCCACCACTGGGTTTAACAGACTTTAGACTTAGTATCACAGCCACGATTTAACCATTATTTTTACTGAACCGTATCAAATCAATTTGAAATATGTTGTATCGACTCAACAGTGCACTGTATCAAGATATGTATAGTATCCTGGCCTATGTATCGAGGTATGTATCATATCAGCAACTTAATGATACCCAGCCCTATTCAGGACTGTCTTGGCTGAAGGATTGTGTCTGTGTTGTATGTTTTTGGTTGATGAGAGAAACCGGAGTGTCTAGAGGAAACATGCAAACTCCACAAACAGAAGCAGGCAACCTGGGATCAAACTCAGAACCTTTATGCTTTTTATTATTGCAATTATTAAGTACTGTTTCAATATACAGTATGGATTTAAGAGTCTTGCTGCAGATGCAGCCAGTTGGTGCGTGTTGAACCATGTTTGCTGCGCTGTGTCTCTTAAAATTCTTGGTAATAAGTTTGCGTGAGTGTGGGGCAGGTGCCATGGCAACTGTTGGTGCTGGTATGACATGAGGGCATTTTGAGGCTTCAGCTGGCCACACATGACACAACGGCCGCGTCTCATTTCTCTTTCCTCGCTTGATTCGTCTCCACGATCCTCCATTTTTCAGCTGTCAATCAAATGTGTCATATTAAGTGGTGTCCCAAAAAAAACAAGAGAATGAAGGAGTAAACATGAGGGAGGCTTCAGGAGGCAGAGATCTGATAAAATAATCAAACTTTATTGGTCTCAGTGAAGAGTTTATATCCTCTCTCCTCGCATTGCCTCCTCTGTGGGCCAGACATCCTCACTCATTTTCTGCAGAATCAAGGAGAAGGAAGGGAGGAGAGAGAAATGACAAGCGGCCAGTGACATAATACATTTCCATTTTACTCATAGACCGCATAAACCGTATAAATGGACATAACTACGGTGCTGGCCGCCACGCTCCAAACAGGAAGTGAGCAGGGGCGCACCTCTGGCTCCATTAACTCTGGTTTCAGTGGTGTTAATATGATTAACTGAGATTCAGGAGCTGGTCTACGCCTCAACCTCCCCTCCAGCCAACCACAACTTATCTCAACCATCCCTTCAATTACCCAGAAGCCCTATTTATACGGCCATCGTGACATCACCGCCATGTCAACACTCTCGAACCCCTCTCATCCATCCTTCAGCCCGAAAACACCATCTTTACGGAGGTGTGGAGTTTCCGAATCAACCGGGTGACCATTTTTGGATTGGAGATGGAGCCCCCTTCCTTAATCTCCCCCCACCCAGCCATGATATCTATCCAGTGTCAATGCATATCTTTATCATATTCCATTGTTGTGGCATGGTCCTGGCGTTGCTAGTGAATTTGTATTGAAAAAAAAAACATCGCCGTTCTCTCTGTAACTGCTGCTGTCAGGCTCCTCATTGGTCTTAAGATGTTCGTATTAACCACGCTACATGATCCTGGTGTGTTTTTTTTTTTTTTTTTTAATATATATTTATTCATTTCATTAGAGATGTTCAATGTCCATTTAGTTGCACACATATACATATATATATGCACGCATATATATCCGCACACATTTACATTTTATACACATGTATGTTTATATGTATGTCTATATACACATACCTACATACTACTAGGGTTGGGCGGTATCCAAATTTTGATACCATTAAACCTTCTCAGGATTTTCCCGGGGTATACGGTATTACTGTAATACCTAAATGTTTTCGTATGACTTTGGTAAGCTACGAAGCCACACCAGTACAGTCTGTGCGTATGAGCTGAAGACTTATAATCTCTGAAAAGTTTCACATGAACCATCTCCAACACGATACACTCACAGAACAGACTCACCATCAGCCGCACATCCTCTGTCACAGAAAGAACACACATATTCCACTGAGTCGTGTCCTTTAGTCCGACAGAACCGCATCAGCACACAAGGAACGTTAGTGTAAAATGTAAACAAATATGTGCCTGAAGCCAAAATTTTGCCAAATTGCAGAAGTACTAGTATTTTTTTGGGACCAACTCACTTGCGGGCGGACTTGCCGTCTTGTCTTGGCCTCTCTTATGAGCATCACGTGACAACGGAACAAAACAAATCTAACATCATCTCCTCATGCTGTTTAAATAAACATAGATGCTATTAGTTTTAAATCATGATGGCATTAAATTGAAAATACAACCACACATTCCTTTGTGCTGAGCAAACAAATTTAGGTCAATAAATTATGATATTATATTAGGTTCTTATGCACTGCAGATTTTTTTAATGGCGGTTCTGAAACTGATACTGTTGCTACTTTTTAATACCGTGGGATACCGTAATACTGTATTTCTGCCCAACCCTACTACATACCCCTATGTGCATACATACTTGGACACATGCACACACGCACCCACCCATATACGTATGTGTTCACCCACATTTCCATCTCAGTTCAAATCCATATACGGTTTTATCATCTCTTTTATGTTTCATATTATAAGATCCTGGTGTTTTTATTTCGCTGTTTTGTCTGTAAATCAATTCCTATTCCTATTCTTAATATGGAACCTTAACTGCTAGCCTTGGTGAGCTTCTTTTGACTGGAGCTGAACGCTGTGGGTGACGTCGCATTTCCTTAGTCCACTTCTATATATGGTCTATAATTTCACTGTTACTGTACTTTTTTTATCCACAGTGAGTAATGTTTGTGTCACTGTCTCGTATGATTCAAATCTGCAGGAGATAAACCACTTCTTTTTTCATTTCTTTTTTCCCTCTGAGCATTTGCTGATGTAGGAAACAAGTGTCGGGGCTGGTATGCTGAAACCACTGTTGTGATCCTGTCAGTTGCCGAACAGCTGACGCGCGCTGTTCTACATCAGGATGGGTGGGGCTTTAGGGCGGTTTAAAGGGGCACACCGGGGTCAGGGAGCAAGATGGTGCCGTTTGCATCTGTGTACAAAGCTATGAACAAATGTCTGTGTTGTGTTATAGACGAGTAGTGTCAGGCTTTTTATTTAATTTCATTTTTTAAACATGATGAGAGCGCATGGTTTTATGACGTACTGTAGTAAATAAAGGCAGTAAATAAACGGCTCACACAGAAGTTGTTTTAAGTCTCGTCTTAAGACCCACTTTTCTCTCTCCCTCTCCGTCTTTCTTTTTTTATCTTGTCTTTAAATATGCATTCTCTCTTTAATAAATAAACACAAATGCAAATACTTTTATTATTTGTCTTTTAACATCGCGTGAGTTGTGTGGTCCTCTGTGTGTTTTATTTATTTTAACTCACTGTATTGATTTTATTGATTTATTTATTGATATTTTATTAGGTTTTACTGCATTTTTTTGTTCTTCATTAATATTTATTTAGCTTTAATCTGTCCGTGCAGCACTTCGGAAACTTTAAAAACTGTTTATAAAATGTGCTACGGATTGGATTCTTTTCTGAGGGTTACAGTTTGTTTTTGTCTGATTGTTCTTAAATTTTCTGCATTTTTCTTTCAGATTTTGACATGAAGAAAGACATAGATGCCCTGATAACCGAGGAACGCGCTGAAATCATCAATAAGTATGACAAGGTAAATCCTGTAGCCGTGTTTTCTAGCAGAACTTAACATCGTGCAGTAAAATATGCTGTTTTAAGTGGTTTGAGAGTGTGTTTTTTTTTTTTTTTTCTCCACTTTGCATTTGTATGTTTCAGGGCAGACAAGAGGGTGTCGACATTGACCCCTGGGAGGATGCAGACTTCAGCATCTATAAAGTCACAGACCGATTTGGATTCTTACAGTGAGTCATTTTAAAATCTTGACGACGCCATAGTTCCGCTTTATCTGTTCTTCTAAATGTTTTAAATAGACAAATCAGATAACGTAATTATAGCGATTACAACTATTTTAACATGGTTTTATTTCTCATTTATTTCCCAGTGAGAAGGAACTCCCAACTCCAAGCGCACTTGAAGAGAAGGTAAACAGTCTTTTCCTAGGATCCGCCGTATTTCCTTATTGATACTTTGCAGTGACATCATGTTGGGGGTGTTCTACATTTAACTCTAAGGTGAAAAGTTAATCAGTTAACTTACCACGATGACAAAATGCACGCATTAGTAAACACTCCCCAAAAAAGTTTTAAGATTAAGTCTGAAAACTCAAGAAAAATTACAAAATGGATTTAAACAGCACATTCATGGTCCAGTTTAGTGTTTGATTTTCAACAAAAAACTGCAAAATTGTTGGCTAGTTTGTGACTGTAATGTTATGAGAGTCAGTTTAACCACACAAATCCGCTCTCACCTGTCAAAGATCCAGCTGTGTCAACTCTTTTAAATTAGATTGTGTTAAAGCAAAAGTCAGATTAAAGTCTAAATTGAGTAAGAGAGTTTCCGACGAGTGGTGCATTAAGTTAACATCACACCCCCGGGGAGTGTTGATGAAATCTGCTGCAAGGGATCAGTATCGGTTTATTTCCAGCGGGGAATTACGACATAATAAACTGTCATTTTAAATGTGTTTTAGCAAAAGCAGCAAGAGATTGAGCGAGTGGAGAAATGGCTGAAGATGGTGAAGAACTGGACCAAGTACAAAAACAGTGAAAAGGTGCGGAACACGCGGTCTGTTTACAGAACAAGTCACCAACAAATCTACATTGATTTTACCCACGCTTTTGGATATTCTCATTTAAAGGTCCAATATCACACAAAATTTACTCTCGTGAGTGTGGGTGTGCAAAAATATTAAAATATCGATATATTGTATCGTTTATTGTGATGATACAGTCTCGATATCATGGGCTGCTGTATCGATATATCTAAATAATTTGACTGTGTTAACTTTTGACATATTTTGACATATTCACTGTTTTGATGAGTAAAATGTTTGTGTTTCATATGAACTTTGCACAAGAACTGGTTTAACAAAGACTTTTAGTATCTCATGATTTAGTCTTTATTTCTTATTGAACTGTATCGAATCAATTTGAGATATAGTGTATTGAATGGTATTGAATTGAAAGCTTACTGTATAAAGATATGTATCTTATGGGCAACTTCTGAATGATACTCAGCCCTACTCGTAGCCACGTTATAATGTTGCTACCTCCTCAAAATGTGAATATAAATGTTAAAAGGGCCATATTACACTGTTTTCTAATCTATGTTATAATGTTGTTTCCTCATCACAAATATACTTGGAGTTGTGTTTCGCTTCATTCACATATGTTTGGGTAAAGCTTCATTCTTACTCATCAGTCAAATGCTCTGTTCCACCTTGTGATGTCATGTAGTGTCAGTTTTCAAGATCGCTTTTACCTTTACTTCGGTGGAGACTGACATTTCCAGAGCTGAAATCATCCAAATGATTCTAGTGAAGGTGTATGGAGTTTAAAAACACAATGGAGCACTTCCTGTATCACCACATGCCATCACAAGTTGGACCAGTGTTTTCTGTTTGAGAGAAGAACTCGGTCTAAAAATGGGTTTGTGTGTTGAACATGTGTGAATGAAACGAAACACAACTCCAGCCAAGTTTGTGATGAGGAAACGACATTATAACATAGATCAGAAAACTGTGTAATATTGGCCCTTTAACATTTATATTCACGTACGTCTTTCTTTTGTGTTGAAGTTGGTAAAGAGAGTGTACAAAGGCATCCCTCTCCAGCTCCGAGGTCAGGCCTGGGCTCTGCTTTTGGATTTGGAGAAAGTGAAACAGGACAACGAGGGAAAGTATGAGGTGAAAGACCAACCGTGTTTATAAATAATGTCTGTCTCCAGTCATACACATCCAGTATTTCATGTTTATTTTTTCTCTCTGTACAGAAAATGAAAATACAGGCCCGGAACTTCTCCACAGAGATCAAGCAGATTGACTTGGATGTGAATAGAACCTTCAGGAACCACATCATGTTCATGGATCGCTTTGGAGTCAAGTATGTGTTTAGACTGAAGCATTCACACGTATAAAATCACATTGTTTAAGGCTGCAAAATGAATCTCAAATGAATTAGAATCACCATTTGAATAGAAGTGTTTTATTATTTTTAAAAACTGATAACCTTGTGTTTTAGATTTGTTGTGAAATGGGTGTTTTGTATTGGTTTGTTCGTTCATAGGTTGTTAGTTATATTTAGTTCATATTCAGTCTTTTTGTCAATTCTTCTGGACATGTTATTAAATTAGTTTAATTAATAATAGTTCAGCCCTAACATTGTTACAGTAACTTCAAGTTAATTAGGTATCTTCATGATGTTTATTTTATTTTTAAAATTCACATTTTAAATCCACATCACATAGTCCAGACAAACCCCTGCTTCCAACATAATTACAAATCGACAGTTTGCTTCTCATGTCATCAACATTTCCTGGGCCCCATGTGATGCTAACTGTAGGCACTGTTCTGTCTGAAGCTTTGTTACTCAAGTTAGACTTAATCTAAGATTTCATTTAACACAATCTGACCAGAAAGAACTGACTAAGGCTATGTTCAGACTGCAGCCTGAAGTGACCCAAATTCAGTTTTTTCGCCCCATGTGACCTGTATCTGATCTTTTAATGACAGTCTGAATGACACAGATCCGATTTTTTTCAAATGTGACTCAGGCCACTTGGATATGTGCTCTTAAAACCGAAACACATCTGATCTTTTGACATGTGAGCTCAGTCTGAACGGCCAGGTTGCATTCCTCCCACCTACACATCATCAACAACTGAAAGTGGTACAAGTGGGCACTCGGAACTGTGACGTTCAGGCGGCAGTCTGAATGTAGCCTTAAGCTTGAGCTACAGTTGAGCTGCTTTGTGCTGTTAAACAAGTCCCTCTCAAACAAACGCTCAAACACTGCAGTCACAATCCACCATTAACCAAAAGTTTTTCAGTGAGTCACATTTTTCGTTGAAAGTCAAGCAGCTAAACAGGACCATGAACACTTGGACCATTGATCACAGGCTCAGTGATCTGTTGTTTAAATTCATTTTGTAATCTTTCTTGTGCTTTCAAACAATCTTAAAACCTGTTTGACAGTGCTTGCTAATTTGTGCATTGTGTCACCATGATAACTGGTGAACATTGTTTTGGAGTTTTTGTTGTTCACAAACATGATTGCCCTGTTTAAAACCTTGGTACACACACACAGACACACACACACACTCACCAAAGCGGTGGTTTCCTCTGAGTTTTATTAGTCTTCCTGTCAGCGCACAAAGCCCCACAGGAAATGGCATTTATACAGCAATGCTCACCAACAATGAGGGTACATACATGTGGTGCATCACTGTCCAAAGACTCTCATACAGTCATATCTAACACATCAAATGAAATACAACGCTTCTCTGCTTCTACATGCAAAAAGCAGCTTGACTTTTTATAAATACACTTCTGTAACTCATCTGTCAAACCAAACACGTGTCAGAAAGTACTGTTCTTTGTCTTTTGTTATAGAGACTTCCTCTTCGTTTCTAGTCAGTCGTTTCTATTAGTCAGTGTTGGATAAAATGATAAAAACGATAATTATTATATCAAACAATTAATTTTGGGGGTCAATATCATACCTGTGGGTACTTTTTATTTGTACTATTGGAAACTTTTTGTAACTTTTTGTACTTTTTATGAAGATTGGAGCTGTAGAGTGTTGAACTAATAACTGTTAACAATACTTCAACAATATATTAACAAATACTACATTACAATACATTAAAAACTACTACAGTACTACTATATAGAGTAGTTATTTGGGGGAAATCCCGCTTTAGGGTTTATTGTGTAAGTGGCTTAAATTAGTTTCAGTATTATCGTTTATCGTTTAGATCAGGGGTGTCAAACTCAAATTCACAAAGGGCCAAATTAAAAACTGGAACTAAGTTGTGGGTCAAACTAAATATTAACTGAAAAATGTCAACATCTGCATGTTTTCTCTTCTTTTGAGATATGTAATATTAAACTTTTTCTTATTAAAATAAAAGTTTAATAATAGTTTTGCTTAAACATTGAATCCAGAACAATCACAATATAAAATAATAACAAAATTTTAAAAAAAAAATAATGTTTCTATAGTCTATCTGTAGCCGGCGGGCAGCTCTAATACATATTTGATATGATCTCGAGGGCCAAATATAATTATATCTGAGTTTGACATGTATGGTCTAGATTTTCTTTACCAATATATTGGTTTTCAAAATGTGTTATTGTGACAGGTCTAGTAATTGTAATTGTGTAATTATTTGGTTAGGCGTCCGTTTCCTCCTTGTTTCTATGGGTATGTCTGCCTAAAATGTTCCACAGGATGACATTAAACAGCTCTACTTTACATTTATTCAATTACAGTTGATTTTATAGCTCAAAAATACCTCAGAAAACAAGTATTCTGACTGGGAGCGTGGTCGTCTCTCCATAGATTTGGCCTGTAACTTGGTCTGGTTTGGTCTCCATGAAGATAGAAAGGTTTAGAATTGAGAATACTCTGTTAGTAAAAGTATGTAGTTTGGAGCTGAGTTCAGACTTTGGAGGAAGAAATTGAACTATTTTTGTGTTATAAAGACAACATCTGTTTAATTTATGCTCAGGAATTTAATATTGGAGGCCATTTGGTTTTAATAAGATGAAAAAAAAACATTGAATCGAAAAACAAGACTGATCAATATGCGAAAATAAAATCATCTCCCAGCTCTACTTCCTATTGAATTCAAATCCACCTTGTGAACAGACAAAAGCTCCGTCCTCACTGCCCACTCCTTCCCCGGCACAGCTGTCACACACACACACACACACACACACACACTCATTGACAGCTATTTAAAGTTGTTTTTCCTGTGTCCCTAATTCTTGTGTCTATGGCGGGGAGGGCCGGCAGGGGGCACTTCCTTTTGGCGCCACATTATTCGTTTATGCTCTTCCTTTCTTCCCATACGTGTGCATAAACATCAGCTTCCCCGCTATCACTGGCCCAAGGTTTTCAGTCAACAAAGATAAACACTGATAAAATGTTAATTTGCTTCTGTTTTTTATTTGTGCCTGTGTCTGGGAAAAGACTGCAGTTTGAGAATTTGAGCTATGTAGTATTTAGTTGCACAGATGTTACAAATGTAATGTTATTTATTGTTATTTATATAAAAATAGGTAATTTCAGCAACATTATATCCATGTCTATTATATTATATGCAAGTAAATAAGTCCATTTGTCTTTATTATTCACTATTTGTCAAAAGTTTGGACACACCCACTCATTCAGTTTCTTTTTTCTTTAAGTTTACTACTACTCTACCTATATTTAAAGGTGCACTGAGTAACATTTTTAGCTTGTCTCCATGGAAATATTATTGCTTTGTCTAGAATGTTCCACAGTATAGATTAAACCTACTGGTATCTATCACAAGGGAGACAAGGGGGTTACAGCACCACGCTACATTACAAGTCAGATCTGTGGAGAGATTCCTTATTCACAGAAGGAATGATTGTATTTTTGAGCAACAGAAAAAAACCCTTATTGACAAAATGATGGATTATGTTTAATCTCATACCATGGAACATTCCAGGCAAAGCAGTAACATCTCCATGGAGACCAGGACCCTTCACAAGAGAAAAAGTTTAAATAACTTAACTACAGATTTTTGGGGGGATATTTTATATTTAAATGCTCAAAGTAGCTACCTTTGCTTTGTCGACAGCGCAGCAAACTCTTGGCCTTCTCTCTCTGTGAGCTTCATGATGACATCTCCTGAAATGGTTTTTAGCTGTCAGGGTCAAGAAATGTCAAATGTCTAAAGCAAAGGGTGGCCATTTAAAAAAATCTAAAACCTTTAATAATATCTAAAATCTAAAGCAGACGTGTCAAACTCAGGCCTGGGGGTCAAATTTGGCTCACGATATAATTATATTTGGCCCGCAAGATCATATCAAACATGTATTAGAGCTGCTCACCGGCTACAGATAGGCTATAGAGACATTATTTATTTAAAATTTTGTTTTTATTTTATGCTTGTTCTGGATTCAATGTTTAAGCAAAACTATTATTAAACATTTATTTTTATATGAAAAGGTTTAACATTACATATCTCGAAAGAAGAGAAAACTTGCAGATGTTGTTAAAATTTTTCAATAAATATTTAGTTTGGCCCACGACTTGTGTGTGAATTTCAGTTTGACACCCCGATCTAAAGTTTTTAGATGCCGTATGTTTTATTTCATATTTTTGATGCCTTCAGTGAGAATCTTCAATGTAAAAAATCAAGGAAATAAAGAAGAAACATGAACAAAAGTGCGTCCAAACTTTTGACTGGTCATGTGTACAGTGGCTAAAACACACACACCAAAATTACTGTACAAGTACTGTATATGCAATTTACAAACATGCAACAACAGTATACAGTACCTCTAAGGTCACACACACACTCATGTTATTTTATATCACTAATATGAAAAGCACTTTTAAATTATGCTTGTGTTTTGTTCCTCTTCCAGGCAGCAGGCCCTGTTTCACGTCCTAGCAGCCTACTCAGTCTACAACACGGTAAGAGTGCGTGAGTGTGTGTGTGTTTCAGAGTGTGTGTCTGTTACATAATACGGAGGAGTCTGGAGCACATACAGTGTTGGACGACTAAATACTGAAGAATAGACCGAGCACTCAAAACCCATCTGTTTAGGAGATAATTAATTCATGAGAAACGGTTCGACTTAAAACATACAGACACCACTAACGCAGCCTAGTTTCAGAGTCGTTAGCTCCACTCTTCACGGACAGATTTAAGGCTGAATCCTGTTAGAACTGAAGAAGCAAGAAGAAGAAGATGATGAGTGACAAAACATATCCACCTTTGTCCAGTCGGCAGAATTGAATTTCTTAAATTTAGACCTGGAATAGGCTGTTTTATTCTTTAGTTGGCGTAAAAAGGAACCACTAATCCTGTTAGAACTGAAGAAACTACTTCGATGAGTGAAAAAACACATTCACTTTGTCCAGTTCACTTTGCAGAATTGAACTTTCTTAATGGCTATAGACTCTGGATGACAGAGAGATTACACTAGTTACTTTTGAATATAGAGAACATGTTTGCATTTTTGTCCTTTGCCTGCCTTTTTAGAAGAAGGTCCTGTATTACGCAAATTTAACTCTTGTGAGCTTTAAATCATATTATAATGTTGTTATTAGGGATGTAACAATAATCGAAATATCATATCGTATCGTCAAAGTGCTCACAATAATATCGTGGACCATCACCATACATCCATTTTATTCCGCTTATCTGGAGCCGGGTCGCAGGGGCAGCAGTCTAAACAGGGACTCCCAGACTTCCTTCACCCCAGACACGTTCTTCGGGGGGACCCAAGGCGCTCCCAGGTCAGCTGAGAGATGTAGTTCCTCCGACGTGTCCTGGATCTTTCCCGGGGCCTCCTCCCGGTGGGAGATGCCCAGAACACCTCCCGAGGGACTGGCCCAGGAGGCGTGGGGAACAGATGCCCGATCCTCCTCAGCTGGGTCCTCTCAACGTGGAGGAGCAGTGGTTCTACTCTGAGCTACTCCCATGTGACCGAGCTCCTCATGCTATCTCTATGGAAGCACCCAGCCACCCTGACATCCTTTCGGTCATTACCCAGAGCTCATGACCATAGGTGAGAGTAGGAATGAAGATTGACTGGTAAATCGAAAGCTTTGCCTTTGCCATCAATATATCGAATTACAATAATTAAATTAAGAGTTATGGTGCAGCAAATGCTAAAAAAAAAGACAGGGAACTACATAGACCATGATCCTTTGCTCCATTTCAGTGCAGACTATATGAAGAAATAACAGTTCTAAGCACTTTTAAGTCTTAGTTCTTTGGATTAAGTCTTGTCAAGGCATTTGAAGAGGAAAACATATTAACCGTTTTGTTTAGCCTCCACAAAATATCGCAACAAATATCGTACCGTGAGATGTATATCGTGAAATTATCGTACCATATTAAGAGATCTGAATATTGTTACATCCCTAATCATGAGCCTCCCCACCATATCGTGAGCTTTCCTACAATATCGCAATAAATATCGTACCGTGAGGCTCATACCGTGACAATATCCTATCGTGAGACTTGGATATTATTACACTCCATACCTCGAGTTGTGTTTTTCATTGACACATGTTTGAGTAATCCACGTTTTGGACGAGGAAAGAACATTATAACATAGATTTGAAAATAGCGCAATATGGGCTCTTTAATTTAGACCTGGAATAGTCTGTTTTATTCTTTAGTTGACGCAAAAAGAACCACTGGATACATATGTTCTGTCCACATTTGTTGCAGAATCCAAAACGCAGACCAAACAACCTGACCAAACAAAGAGACGCATTCCTTCCCCTTCCAAATGTTTAAAACGCTCCTGAAGGGAACAATTTGCACTTTGCTTGACTACCCTTCGCTCACTCCAAGTCACTTATAATGTGCTGAGAATGCTGACTGTGCTATCCAAATACAAATGTGTTGTTTTTATGGACTTTATGGTCGGAGAGTTCCTGTGTGGAGATGGTGGAGCCAGAGGAAGGGGGCATGAGCAATTCCAGTTTTTCCTTTTTCCTCTCGACTCCCATGTCACTCAAGAGAAAGTGGGTCAGTGGAGGAGAGTGCCAGAGTAGGGGGATAGAAGTACATGCATTTACCCTGTATGATGGCAGCGTGAATGTCTAGACTGTGTAGGTTGACCTCAATACAACCTTTTTCCCTTGAAAGAAAAGTGTACCACATTTCGATGGTACAGGGTGGATTTAAAGAGCCTGTATTACGCTATTTTCTGATCTAATATTCTTTCCTCATCAAAAATATACCTGAAGTTGTGTTTTGTTTCATTTGCACATGTTTAACACACAAATTAGTCTAGATTAGGCTGAATTCTTTGGGTAATTTGGTTAATTTCAGCCTTAGAATTGCAAATTTCTACTAAACATAAGATAAAACGTAGGGCCGGGTATCAATAAGAAGTTGCCAATACGATACATACCTTGATACAGTGAGCTTTCGATATGATACGATTCAATACGATATATATTTCAAATCAATTCGAGACGTTTCAATAGGGCTGGGTATCATTAAGAAGCTGCCGATACGATACATATCTCGATACAGTGACCTTTCGATTTGATACGATATATTTCAAAATCGATTTGACACAGTTCAATAAAAAAAATAAAGGCTAAATCATGGCTGTGATAGTAAAAGTCTTTGTTAAACCACTTCTTGCAAAGTTCATAGGAAACACAAACATTTTAATCCTCAAAACAGTGAAAATGTCAAATGTGTCGCATAAGAGTTTCCTTCTTCTAAATAAGCAATAGTGCTGTAACAAAATAATTTAGTAAAACATACCAAAAAATACTCTTGGTGATGTATCCATACAGCAGCCCCTGATATCTGCACTGTATAATCACATTAAATGATACGATATATCGATAGTTCAATACATTTGCAAACTCCTAATAAAAGGTTAGCCAGGCTGGTGCCACCTCCACTCAATTTTATTTCTCTTCAGCGACTAGGTCAGGAATTGGAATACACTAGACGATTTGCAAGCACCCCAGAAGTTGTAGACCGCGCACCGGCCAATCAGTGAAGAGCTGTGAAGCCATGACGTCAAACTCAAGCGCCTGTCTGGGTCACTTTTGTGGAACAGCACAACAGTAAACAAAGCGGTCGAGATGGATGTAGACGAAACCATATATTCTGTGTTGGCAATGATTCCTGAGATCGAGGATTTAAAGCCGGAATAAAGAGAATGTTTGGTGAATTTTATCAAGGGGAAAGACATTATTGCCCTTCTTCCTACGGGATTTGGCGCATTACATACATCACCACCAAATAGCAGTGATTGGTTAAATAAAAAAGTACCTGCCTACTGTCGAGCGAACAAATCTTAATGCTGCGAGGTCAGATGGTTTCCACGAAGTGAAACCGGCTGATGAATCAGGCTAATAAAAGGAGCTGTTAACTTGAAAACTACCGCTTCATGACATCACAAGGTGGAACAGAGCACGTTGAGCTTCTGAGATGTAGCCAGACTAATAATAAAGGATTACTCAAACAAGTGTGAATGAAACAAACCACAACTCCAGTTATGTTTTTGATGCACTATAACATGACTTAAACCTCTCAAGAGTCCATTTTGCATAACATAGGACCTTGAATATAAACCAAAAGCTAATACGTGTTTGCTTTTGTAAATGGTGTTCCTGCAAAGAGCGACTTGTTTGGACTAAATCACTGGAACATAGTTGTAATGGAAGAGTTTGCGGTAAATATTTGAACAAGCCCGGCTAAAACTGTTTATGATTTGTGTTGAGGGACGGTTACCAATGTGCACTCTCAGCTAATCTCCTCCTCACCACAGACATTCAGGTGCTCTTCTCTTCTCAGGTCGCACGCGTGTTACTGTAAATTATAAATAATTTCTCTTATGGCCACGCACGGTCGGTTCTGAACATTCTGGCTCTCTCGCTTCTTCCCCCAGGAGGTGAGCTACTGCCAAGGCATGAGTCAGATCGCGGCCATCTTGCTCATGTACCTGAATGAGGAGGATGCTTTCTGGGCTCTGTCTCAGCTCCTCACGAACAACAAACACGCCATGCACGGTGAGTGAGGTTATGAACTATAATAGAAATCCAGACAACAGTAAAAGCAACACTGGTAGCATCAAAATAAAGGTATTCATTTCAAGGTGCAATGTGTAACTCAACTCTGGTAGAGCATTTTTCTCCGTAGAGATGTGATTACTTTGTCTGGAATGCTTCACAGTGTGTTATTAAACCTTTCTATCTTCATGGAGACCAAACAAGACCAAGTTACAGGTCAGATCTGTGGAGAGGCGACCCCGCTCACAGTCAGATTTTATTTTTTAGGTATTTTTGAGCTATAAAATCACCTGTAATTGAATAAATGTAAGATAGAACATTAAAACAATCTCAAATGGTATATAAAATGGTCTTAATTAGAACTAGTTTAAAACCCCATGGTAATATTAAACAAAGTACTTTTATTTTATGTGGAAAATGATATTCTGTTGTTGTAAAAAAATATTTTTCATTGTAGTTTTGTAAGCAGTATCGAGTATTGAAGGTGCATTGTGTAACTTTTCTGGTGGACAGTCCATCAAATGTTTTTCTCCATGGAGATGTTATTGCTTTGTCTGGAATGTTTCGCAGTATGGCATTAAACCTTTCTATCTTCATGGAGACCAAACCAGACCAAGTTACAGGTCAGATCTGTGGAGAGGCGACCCCACTCGCACTCAGAATATCTTTTTTTCTAGGGATTTCTGAGCTGTAAAACCACCTGTAATTGAATAAATCTAAGGTATATCTGTTTAATGTCATACTGTGGAACATTCCAGGCAGAGCAATGACATCTCCATAGAAACAAGCAGGTGATGGACCCCCAGACAGAAAGTTACATAGTGCACCTTGAACAATACAGAAATAACTCTCAAATAGTTTATAGAATGGTTTTTGATAAGACCTCATGGTAATATTAAAGAAAGTACTTTCATTTTTGTGTAGAAAATTCTGTTTTTGTATTTAAAAAAAACAAAAAACGTTATTGTTGTAGTATCTTAATCAGTATCGAATATTAAAGGTGCACTATGTAACTTTTCTGGTACAAGTCCAACACCTGTGCATGGAGATATGATAGGGAGATTGCTTTCACTGGAATGTAGCACTAACTTATTATTTAATTATAGTAAAAAAAAAAAAAAACAATATCTTGAAAAATATGCATTCTACTGCAAGCGGGACCTTCTCTCCACAACTCAGACCAACCCAGAGTGAACTTGGCTTGTTGCTTGTCTCCATGGAAACAGACAAGTTTAATGTCATAAAAAAGACAAATAAACTCGTTTAATGTCATACTGTGAAAAATCCCAGGCAAAGCAACAACATCTCCATGGTGACGCAGCCTCCACCCAGAAAGTTACACAATGCACCTTTAAGCTTGTTGCTTACTGACGCCAATTTGATCAGTAATTAAAAACTAGTGCTAGAAAACACAATGGTATGATAAGCAAAGTTAGAATAATGAGTAGATTTCTTTTTAAAATGTTGTGAAATGTTCCAAACAAAGGTATATGTGTGATGTTTCTGCATGTTTGTGGTTTATTTTACTGTCAATTTATTTTTCAAGTGATTATTTAAGCCACGACTTGTACTTTTACATTTTGGCATTTTTCCAACAGATTATTATAATATTTTTGGTCAGTATTGCCCACTCTCTACACAAGGCCTGCTTTATGTCTGGTTAATTGTATTTTTTATTTTTATTTTTATTCTATTCCATACACTTCCATACTACACTATATTAAACTAATACTTAATTTAGGTCATATTGTAAAAACCTGCACACCAAATGTTCTGTTGGACAGGGCTAAGGGACTTTTTTTGACTTGACTTTTTTTTCTTTTCTTTTTTTTCTGGGGAAATACCTTTTCTAACTGATGACTGTTATGGCTCCACCAGGATTCTTCATTCCAGGATTTCCTAAACTTCACCGTTTCCAAGCCCACCATGACCTCATCCTCTCCAAAATGCTGCCTAAGCTAAAGAAGCACCTGGTGAGTTACGGCGCTGCTGTGAAAACTGAGGAGTAAGGAGGTTTGCAGCTGCTCCGTCTCTAGGGCTGAAGTATATTAAAGGACCCGTGTTACACTATCTTCTGATCTATGTTATAAATAACGTTGTGCTCATCACAAACACACATGGAGTTGTGTTTTGTTTCATTCGCACATGTTTATCCGTGGATCTATTAAAATAACTGGAGGGTGTTGCTGCTTGTAGTTACCTCTAGTTGGGATAGTGGTCACTCACTGGCAGCCTGATTCATCACCCGATTTCACTTCGTAGAAACCGTCTGACCTCGCAGCATTAGAATTTGTTCGCTCGACGGTATGCGGGTAATTTTTTTTATTTAACCAGTTGCTGCTATTTGGTTGTGATGTTTGTAATGCACCACTAATGCGGCAAACTGGTATATTAAGCTTTTCCCAAATCCCGTAGGAAGAAGGGCAATAACGTCTTTCCCCTTGATAAAATTCACCAAACATTCTCTTTGTTCCGGCTTTAAAAATCCTCGCTCTCAGGAATCGTTGCCAACACAGAATGTATGGCTCTTCGCTGATTGGCTGGTGCCCGAACTCGCACTTCCGGGGTTTTTGCGAACCGTCTAGTGTATTTTGATTCCTGACTTAGTTGCTGGAGAGAAATGAAATTGGGCGGAGGCACTTGGTGGCGCCAACTAACTCACTGGTTCAGCGGAAAAAATCCCCTTGAAAGGATTTTCCTCATAGAGCGCAGTGTAATCACAAACTGCTCATGTTCAGCTGACAGGGCACCTACAACTTTCAAAAATGTCGGATTTTGTGGCAATTTTAACCTATTTTTAGATCGTAAACTTTTTCTCAGCTCAAAATCCTTCAGATGTCTTAAAAAGCGCTTTATAATGATTCACTCCAGCTCTGCTCTGCTCTGCTCCGCTCTAGCTCCTCTCGCTCTGATCGGTCAAAGCGATCACGTGATATTTGAGACCGCGCTCTGTGCCTGCGCTCGCGTGCATTGGCGTGTACCCGCGGTAGAAAAGAGCACTACTGCACGTGTTCAGTCGACCCAGAGCCACCGGAACTAACTCGTCGGGCTAAAGGCGAATCTGGAATCATGCGCCATTGAGCTCGGCCCTGCTGACTTGAATGGGCGGCCGTTTTTAGACCCCGGGGCTTATGTTTGACACACTAACCCTGGGTGGCAGTAGCTCAGTTGGCTGGTGTGAGTCCAGCTCCCACAGTTGAATGCTATTGTTGTGTCCTTGGGCAAGACACTTAACCCACGTCACCCCCAGTGTCTGGTGTATGAATGTGTGTGTGAACGGGTGTAAAGCGCTTTGAGTGTCTTGAAGGTGGAAAAGCGCTGTATAAAAAAGTGACCATGACCATTTACGATAGCCCTTGTATATTTAGTTCTTCTCTCAAACAGAAAACACTCTGATCCACCTTGTGATGTCATATGGTGTTACAGAAAGTGCCGCACTGTGTTTTTAAAGTCCTTACACCTTCACTACAATCATTTGGATAATTACAGCCCTGAAATTACGAATCTGTACTGAACTAAAGGTAAAAGGAGCTGTTAACTTTAAAACTACAGCTTCGTAACATCACAAGGTGGAACAGAGCATTTAGAGCTTTGGAGATGTAGCCAGACTAATAACAAAGGATGAGTCAAACATGTGTGAATAGAACAAAAGGCAACTCCACGTCTGTTTTTGATGAGGTAACAACATTATAACGTGGCTTAAAGCTCACAATAAGCAATTTTGCGTAATGTAGGACCTTTTAAGCCGAGTGTAATTATCTGATTAATGCTCAAAGCTACGCACGCCTCACATCTCTAAGAAACGAGCAGCTCAGAAGTCAAAGGCAGATGAGATTACGAGGAACGACTCCCCTTAGAGACCAGTTTCTCATTTACTTCTGGCCCACAGGATAAAGAGCAGATGACAACTGGGATTTACACCACCAAATGGTTTCTGCAGTGCTTCATTGACAGAGTGAGTATTTAGATTGCACCCAGCTGTTTACAGAGCTCCACATCTGCGCTGTTCATTTGTAACACAGCCTCCCTCAAGCTATAATCAGTAGTGCAAGACATCAAGTACAAAAGTATAAAAGTAAAAGTACAAATTTTAGGTATCTGTACTTTGCTTAAGTTAATTTTACATTGAGTACTTTTTACTTCCTACTTCACTACATTTTAAATCTGGACTCAAAAGTTTAAAGTACTTTTCTTTCGGGTGGGAAATTGTTGAGAGTTTTTTTTTTTTTTTTTTGGCACATTAATTTGAGTTTCCGTCCCGATTTTGAGTAAACCAGATACACGAAAATACAAACACGGCTAGAGGAAATAAGAAATCAATTGAATCACTTAAAATCAGCTGAATTCTTTTTCAAAATCACCACATTACATTCTTTAATTGTTCAAAAAATCTCTCCAAATTAGTTTTACTTTTTACTCCTTGACAACATTTTTAAACAGGTTTACACTTTAAAACTTTTACTGTAGATTTTTTCACGTGATACTTTTACTTGAGTTACTTTTTGCCCTTGTATCTGTACTTTTACTTGAGTACTTAATAAAATAAAAATAAAATTGCCAACAGTGGTGGATGAAGTACTCAAATAACTGGATACATGTACCTCAAATACTTATTTAGAATATGGCCTGGAATCACCTCTGTCCCTCACGATTCGATACAATACTCGATACGATATTATCACGATACGATATTATCACGATATGGCGATACTCGTGATAATCGATACATTGGACATGATGCTTTGTGATACAGTATATTGTTGTTTTTTTAGAACCAAATACATTTTAGCAGCGATATTTTTTTGTTGAACCATTACTTATGCAAAATTAATATGAAATACATCTATTTTAAAAGCGCACTTTGTAACTTTTTGGTCCGTCACCTGCTTGTTTCTATGGAGATGTCATTCTTCTGCCTGGAATGTTCCACAGTATGACTATAAACAGCTCTACCTTATACAGTATTTATTAAATTGCAGTGGGTTTATAGCTCAAAAATACTTCGAAAACATCTCTCCACAGATCTGACCTGTAACTTGGTTTAGTCTCCATGAAGATAGAAAGGTTTAATGCCATACTGTGAAACATTCCATACAAATAAATAACATCTTCATGCACAAAAGCACAGACTCCTCACCAGAAAAGTTACACAATGCAACATTAACAAAATTTTAGTGCAGTCACACAAAAAAAATTGCTTAAAGATACCAAAAAAAAAATACTCTTATATAGGCGATATAGCGATACAGCAGCCCACGATAACGATACTGTATTACCAAATTTAGCTTCACAATACATCGATATTACGATATTTTTGCCATCCCTAATTCAAAATACAGTTACTTTTTCATTTGGTGGGATTCAGATACTTTTCTAAAATCAAAGAGTACATGGCGGTACTTAATCACTACTTAATCATACAACGTAGGCTTTCAAACTGCACATACTTGACTAGTGAGAAAAATTTGAAACACTGCTCTTGTGGTGAGTGCATGTGTGATTTTTTTTTTTCTTCTTTAAATAGTGACAGGAAATGTTTTAAAAACGGTGAACCAAACCTGAAGCTGTTTTTATTGCTATGTTGAGTCTTATATTCCTTATATAATACTAGCTTTTATCATGATTTAAAAGTGTGCTATGTAACTGTTAGTTTGGGGGTCTGTCACCTGCTGCTTGTTTCTATGGATATGTCATTGTTTTGTCTGGAATGTTCCACAGTATGGCATTAAATGTAAGCTCTACCTTACATTTATTAAATTACAGGTAGTTTTATAGTTTCAAAAATACCTAGAAAAACAACATTCTGACTGTGAACGGGGTCGCCTCTCCACAGATCTGACCTGTAACTTGGTCTGGTTTAGTCTCCATGAAGATAGAAAGGTTTAATGCCATACTGTGAAACATTCCAGACAAAGCAATAACATCTCAATTAGGGTTGAGTATCATTAAGAAGTTACATACCTCGATACATGGGCCACAATACGATACATATCTCCATACAGTGAGCTTTTGATTTGATACGATATATTTTAAATCAATTCGATATGGTTCAATAAAAAAGTCATGGCTAAATCATGGCTGCGATACCAAAAGTGTTTGTTAAACCACTTCTTGAGCAAAGTAAATTTGAAACACACATTTTAATCATCAAAACAGTGATGTCAAATGTGTCACATAAACGAATTTCCTTCCACTAAACCAGAGGTGTCAAACTTAAATTCACAGAGGGCCAAAATTAAAAACTGTGACTACGTCATGGGCCAAACTAAATATTTATTTTAAATTTTCTTATTTAAATAAATGTTTAATAATAGTTTTACTTTAACACTGAATACCAAACAAATATAATATAAAATAATAACAAATCATTTTAAATAAATAATGTCTCTATGGTCTATCTGTAGCCGGTGGGCAGCTCTAATACAGATTTGATACGATCTCGTGGGCCAAATTTGGCCCCTGTGCCTGAGTTTGACATTCTCTAAACCAGGAGTGTCCAAACTTTTTTAATCAAGGGCCACATATCTAAACACAGACGAAGCAGAGGGCCGATCAAGGGCCGTAGACTGGTGCTCAGTACAGTGAATAATTGAAATGTGTGCATGTTTAACACATTAGAATGAGCCATCAGTCTTTATTCATGCTAAGATCCTTCACACTAAATATTAAATATTAGCTTCATCAAGGTAGAATTTCAAAAACTTGCAGTAAAAAAATATTTTTTAATTGATGCAAGGTAATTTGGGCCAATTCACCTGGAAGCCTGAGGGCCAAGAAAAATTTCTCTGGTCCCGGGCCATAGTTTGGACATGCCTGCTCTAAACTGTAGCGCTGTAACAAAATAATTTAGTAAAATAAACCAAAAAATACTCTTGGCGATATATCGATACAGCAGCCAACGAATCTCAATGGAGAAAAGGAGAGAAGTTCAGAATACAGTACTTTAATTGACCCATGGGATTACAATACAAAATAAATTTTAATCTAAGTATTCAGGATTATGTAACTAAATACATTTTCAAAGTATTCTTCCCATCACTGATAATGAATCTGAAATCCATCTGTTTTTTGTTTGATTCTCTTACATAACAGAGCCCTTTCACCCTCACGCTGCGACTCTGGGACATCTACATTCTGGAAGGAGATAAGATGCTGAACGCCATGGCTTATACCACTCTAAAGCTGCACAAAAGTGAGTAAACTGACGTAGACTGAAATTAGAGATATACTGCAATAAAGGATCATACTGAAACTACTTCATGCCATGATACAATAACAATAATGCAAGATAATCCCAGTAAACCATTTTTAAATAGGCAGTGTCATCAAGGTGCACTCACCACCTGCTTGTTTACTTGGAAATGTTATTGCTTTGTTGCTAGAATGTTCCACAGTAATAGATTAAACCTATCTATCATGAAGGAGACAAACAGGTTACAGCACTGCACTACATTACAATTCAGATCTGTGGAAAGAAGGAATTGTTGTATTTTTGAGCAATAGAAACACCCGTAATGAATAAATGCCAGATGGTTATGTTTAATGTCATACCAAGGAACATTCCAGGCAAAGCAATAACATTTCCATGGAGACAAGCAGGTGAAAAGTTGCGCAGTGCACCTTAAAGTGACCTGAGCAAATAGCAAAATGAAGCAATAATAAGCCTTAAGACTGATTAATTCAACCCTCAACCCTCAAATCTTAGTGTATTACAACAAAAATACTCAAAATCTTCCCACTTTTACAACAAAACTGTACACACCATAAATACTGAGCTTCGAAATTGTTTATATTGTTTCAGCTTTCAAAAGTTTGGACTCACCCTCTCAGTCAATGTATTTTTTTTTCTATATGTTTACTACTTTCTACATTTGATATACAAACAGAAAGCATCAAATATATGAAGTAAGATACTTGTATGTATAATTATGTAGTAAAGGGAAAAAATGCAAATAACTGTACTGTATATTTTTTAATATCTTATAACCAAATCCTCAAAGTAGCCACTCTTTGCTGTATCGAAAAATACTTGGTTTGGAGTTTTTTTTTTTTTGTTTGTTTACTACATAATTCCTTATATATATTTGCTTCTTATGTTTGATGTCTTCTGTATGTATCTAAAGTGTAGAAAGTACCGTATTTTTCAGACTAAAAGGCACACTTAAAATCCTTTAATTTTCTCAACAATCGACAGTCCGCCTTATAATCCGGTGCGTCTTATGTATGAAAATAGACGAGAAAATTCAACATTATTGATATTTCGCCTTATAGTTTGAAAAATACAGGTAGTAAAAATAAGATGGTGAGTCTAAACTTTTGACTGATCATGTATGTTTAGACAGCACAAATCAAAATTTTGTACACATCCTCTTAATGTTCAATGTTTGTTTGTTTTTTTTCTACTTTTTACATTTTATATACATACAAAAATATCAATTATATAAAGCAACATAGTAAAGAAAAAAGTTAAAGGATGGCTAATTTAAGACTTTGGTTAAAAGACATTAAAACAAATATCTAGTAGAGTTATATAATTTCATAATTATATAACCTTGCTCCATATATTTGATGTCTTCTGTATGTGATGGTGAATCTAAACTTTTGACTGATCATGTATGTTTAAACGGCACAAATCAAAATTTTTACACATCCTCTTAATGTTCAATGTTTTTTTTTTCTACTTTCTACATTTTAATTACATACAGAAGACATCAGATATATGAAGCAAGATATATGGAATTATTTAGTACAGAAAAAACATAAAAGGATGGCTAATTTAAGACTTTGGTTAAAAGACATTAAAACAAATATTTAGTAAAGTTATTTAATTTATATATATATGTGTGTGTATATATATATATATATATGTGTGTGTGTATATGTATATGTATATATATATATATGTATATATATATATGTATATATATATGTGTGTATATATATATGTGTGTATATATATGTATATGTTATGTATATGTATATATATATATATATATATGTATATATATATATATATATATATATATATATATATATATATATATATGTATATATATATATATATATATGTATATATATATATATATATATATATGTATATATATATATATATATATATATATATATATATATATATATATATATATATATATATATATATATATATCCTTGCTTCATATATTTGATGTCTTCTCTATGTATATTAAATGTAGAAAGTAGTAAAAAATAATATGGTGAGTCTAAACTTTTGACTGGTCATGTATGTTTTTACTTCCTTCTACATTTTATATACATACAGAAGACATTAAATATATGAAGCAAGATATATCGAATTATTTAGTACAGAAAACACGTTTAAAAAGATGGCTAATTAAATACTTTGGTTAAAACAAATATCTAGTAGAGATGTAATTTCATATATACATCCTTGCTTCATATATTTGATGTCTTTAATGTATGAAATGTAGAACGTAGTCCACATTTGACTGCTCGTGTGTATAAGCAAGAACGATAAATCAATACAGTAATTACCATGACAGGCCTAGTTGCTGGTTGCCTTATTCCTGAGTCACTAAAGCTGGTTCATGCCCAGATGCTGTTGCTATAGAACAGGGTGTAACTGCACGGATTACATGGCACGCTGCCCTGTGGTTGGCTGCCTGCTAACTGGATGACTTACATAATGAAAATGGTCCGTTGCCGTGTAGAAGAGTAACGGCTGACTTTCCATTGGGCACGTTCATGACATAAGCTTTAATCTTATTGGTTAAAATGAAGTCCCTATATATTCCTGTGATGATTTTATGTTAAATGACTTGTGTTATGCTATTTCCTGATCTATGTCGTAATCTTGTTTCCTCATCACAAACAGAGCAGGAGTTGTGTTTTGTTTCATTCTCACATGTTTAACACACAAACGCTGCATATTTAAAAGCTTTTCTGAGTTTGAGTTCTTCTCTGTGATGTCATGTGGTGATACAGGAAGCGCTTCACTGTGTTTTTAAACTCCAAACACCTTCACCTTCAGATCAGACATGTCAAACTCAGGCCCGGGGTCCAAATATGGCCCGTCATATAATTATATTTGGCCCGCGAGATCATATCAAATATATATTAGAGCTGCCCGCCGGCTACAGATAGACTATAGAGACATTATTTATTTAAAATTTAGTTATTATTTTATTTTATGCTTGTTCTGGATTCAGTGTTTAAGCAAAACTATTATTAAACATTTATTTGAATAAGAAAAGGTTTGGAGAAAAATCCTGGCCTAGTGCAGAAATGTTGCACGGTTTGTCCTAATAAATCTCACAATTTGCAAGTAAGACGGTGTGCGGGATTTTTCTACATGTTCTTAGGCTGCTTCCTCTCCTCCAGCGCACCCATTTCAAGTAATTGATGTGCGAAGTTCTCATTTTTTTTAATAAGATAAGGTTTAACATTACATACCTTGAAAGAAGAGAAAACATGCAGGTGTTGGTGAAATTTTTTTATAAATATTTAGTTTGGCCCACGTCTCATTTTTTTATTTTGTCCCTCTGTGAATTTGAGTTTGACACCGCTGATTTAGATCATTTCAGACCTGGAATTGCCAATTTCTACTGAGCAAAACTACCACTACATGACATCACAAGGTGGAACAGAGCATTTTGAGCTTTGGAGATGTAGACAGACTAATAATAACATGTGTGAAAGAAACAAAACAACAACAAAACTCCAGGTATGTTTTTGATGAGATAACAGCATTATAACATGGCTTAAAGATTCTATATTACACAAAATTGACTTTCGTGAGCTTTAAGTTGACAAAGCAAAATGTGGTCCACTAAAGTGCAGTACAGAACCTCAAACAATGGTCCACATTGATTTTAAAGATTCACACTCCCCGTGGTTAAATGACCTTTGAACTTATAGATTAACCCATCACTGGCCTCTCGGATGAACATGTGCAAATTGTTTTTTTTTTTTCTTTTAACAGAGCGGCTACAGAAGCTTCCGTTGGAGGATCTGAGGGAGTTCCTTATAGAAGAGCTGGCAGTTTCCTTCTTTTTACCAGACGACGTGGTGGTTGAACAGTTACAAGCGTCTATGTCTGAACTGCGGAGTAAAAAGTTGGACCAGCCTCCTCCAGGTGCAGTTTTTTACTTTTCTACCCAAATTATTGTGTGTGGATAGTGATTACGCTATTTTCTGATGTATCACATCAAAACGGATCTGTAGTTGTGTTTTGTTTTGTTTCATTCACACGTTTAACACACAAACTCTGCATATTTAGCCTGAGTTCTTCTCTCAAACAGAAAAGTAGGCCTGATTGATTAAAAAAAAAATCGTTATCACAGTTATTTTGGTCAATATTGAATCAGACAATGCATTTATTCAGCATTTCACTCAAAAAAATTCTCTTTGTTATTGATAATTTATGTAAAACTTTCAAATTGAAAATGAATATAGGCTACTAATATGAACCATAGAGCAGTTTTGTAAAGTATAAAACCTAAAATGAAAAAAATATATACTTTGAACATGAAATAAGGCATAGAAAAACATAAATGTATCCAAATTAAATCTCCAGTAGGGGTGTGCAAAAATATCAAAATATAGATATATCATATTGTTTAATGTGATGATACAGTATCGATACTGTAGGCTGCTGTATCGACATATCGCCAAGAGTATTTTTTGGAATATTTTATTAAATTATTTTGTTACAGAGCTACAGTTTTGTTGCTTGTTTAGAGAAAGGAAACTCATTTTATGCAACACATTTGACATTTTCACTGTTTAGATGATTAAAATTTTGTGTTTCATATTCACTTTGCACAAGAAGTGGTTTAACAAAGACTTTTAGCATCACAGCCATGATTTAACCATTACTTTTTTATTGAACCAATTTGAACTATATTGTATCAAATCGAAAATCGTGGCCTGTGTATCGAGGTATGTATCATATCGGCAACTTCTTAATGATCCCCAGCCTTAATCTCCAGCTGTACTACAATCTCTATATTTAAAAAAAAAATCAAATAAATATACTTATTTATATAAAAAAATTAACTTTGTTAAGCTGTTTCAACTGGATTATATGAGTTTGGAGATCGTTTGACACACAAATCAAAATCGCGATCAAAATGTAATTAATTGCACAGCTTTACTCTGTTCCATCATGTGGGAATACAGGAAGTGCTCCACTGTGGTTTTTAAACTCCACACACCTTCACGAGAATCATTTAGATAATTTCAAACCTGGAATTACCAATCTCTACTAAACAAAAGGTAAAATGAGCTGTTAACTTGAGCATTTTGAGCTTTGGAGATGTAGACAGACTAATAATAACATGTGTGAAAGAAACAAAACACAATTTCAAGTATGTTTTTGATGAGATAACAACATTATAACATGACTTAAAGCTCACAAGAGTCAATTTCACGCAATATAGGACCTTTTAACGTTTTCTCAATCGTTAGACTGAAAATTCCTTTGTATATTTTGGCTAATGCATTCCTACTCTGCATTTCCTTATTTAGCAAAGTCCGAGGAGCTGCCAAGAAAACCACTGGGTCAAGAGAGACCAGTTCCCAACCACCCCGACTCTCCTCTCGAAGTCAAACTCAGCCTGCAAGAACATAGCCCCTCCAGCCCCGTACCCCAACCAACGGACAACATCACGTTACACCCGACCTCCTCTCCTGTGGAAACCAGTGACAGCAGAAGCATCACTCCCTCTTTGACTTCTCCAGACTCTGTTGTAGTTCACACTGAAAGCTCAGACGAGGCTCCTTTAAAGCCCAGTAGAGTTCCTCCTTTACCGCCAAAACAATCTAAACCTTCAGCCATTTTAGCGGCGGTTCAAAGCTCACAACCAGAGGAGAACCAGAGCCAACAAAGCACCCGATCTCAACTTAAGGAACTTCAAGAAGAGCCTGTAGAGTGGCCTCCTCCGTATGAGCCACCATCTTTGGACTGCATTCCCACACAAGCTGAGATAGTAGACCTACCAGAACTTCCACCTCCACCTTTTTGTTTCCCAACTCCACCTCAAAAACCAGACTTCCAGATCCAGAGTTCTTCACCTCGGACTCAAGCAAAGCCTAAAATCGGACCGAAGCCTATCACATCCTTGGACATCCTACAGAAAAAACCTTCTCCAACTCGTGTTTTCACAACCTCTTCGGCGTCGTCTTCTCCGCGGGTTCCTCCAAAGCCGACCAAATTCCCAGTTTCTCTGTATGTTCCAGTTAACACAGGAGACCGAAGACCCTCCAATACCTCCCAGTATGACAACCTTTCCGAAGGCGATGACGATGACCGTTTCATCGAGAGACTTTTGGCGGCAACTCCAGAGGAATCACCCAAGAATCTTCACACGTTTAACAAAAACTATGACGGCGTCGCCTGTTCTGTTTCTCCGCCGCCGATGTTCATTCCGCCTTCTCCGAACCCATCGTTTCGCTCCATGTCCACTGAACCCCTGAGCGAGCGGGACGAAAGGTGGGCAGAAGATCCGATGAACACACCCCCTCCTCTGTCAACTTTCGCCGATAGAGTGACTCCGTTTCAGTGTGGCGGGCATAGCTGTTCGGACATTCACAGAGCAGCCTCGCCGAACTACTCCAAAGCGTTCTCCAGGGGACCCAGGGACCACTCCGCCTTCCCCGCTCCCCTCCTCTACACCGGGTCCCCCCCAAAAGCTACAGGTCAGCCCTCCGTTGGCGTCCCGCTGGTCAGATCGAACCCAGACTTTTGCCGGATGTCTCCAGGCGTCCAGCAAATACCCAAATCAGTGACTTTTGGATAATGACTTTGTTTTTACTGCCGTTTGAAAGGTTAATGGCCAGTATTTTTCTATTAAAAAAGACAACGTGTGTTTGCATGCGAATGAGAAACCTTTAAATAATGTGTAAATAGTTAGTAATACCTGCCTGCCTCATATTTTAAGGGCTTAGAGAAAGAAAAGGGAGAAATTAGAACAGTATATAATGTAAACTAGTTTGAAATACATTTGAAATCTCAATTTTCACAAAACAATTATGGCCAAAACAGCATTTCTTTACACATTAATAACTTGGGTAAAATTTTGCAAGATATTTTAAGGGATTCTAGGCAGATTAATGCACATTCTTCCTCTTTGCACTGAAATCCTGAAAGATTTTGTTGTTGCTATTATTACTTAAAACATGCTGTCTGTTACAGGTTGTTAATAAGACTTTATGAAACCACTTTTGATTGAGGTTTGGTTAAAATAGCTTCAATAATCTAGTCATAGCCATCGTACAATAATACACATCTGTCAAACCAATCAGAGTGAGCAGCAAGTAGCAATTTAAGAGCTTTGTGGTGGTTTTTCAGTTTCCTCCAAGCACCCAAAACCTTTTCATTCTACTGGTGCTATAATGTTAAAGTGCTTATGACAGGTTGGACTACACACAGTACCAAAAACCTGTTACAACAAAATAAAAAAAATCCCAGTTTGGCCATTGTTTTGGTTTCAAATTTCACTTCCCGATTGGAAATTATGACACCGCACTAGAGAATTACATAACGGTTACCTAGCAATGCTTCTCTAATATACACAGAAATTATGTGACAAATAAAATGTGTTTTTATTTAGTTGAAATAGTATTTAAAGTATCAGGAAAAAAATACTGACTGTGTAAATTGTACCAAACTTTTAGACTATCCACTTCTTGTAATTTTGAGCTGATTTTTAAACTTTTCTCCACAAATTGCTTCTTGATTGGTTTAAAACTATAATTTATATTTACAACAGGTATTATCCCACCAATTTAATAGAAATTAGAGAATCGTCATACGCACTTTAACTGTAAGCATCTTCGAGGTTTGTGTATGTTTGTGTTAGTACCTGATTGTAAAGAACCATTTAACTAGAAAACCCCAAAGAATTACTTATTTAGAAAGCGTTTAAACTAGAGGATGTGGTGCAATGTTTTTAAAAATGCACTATGTCATTTCTTCTTTCTATGGAGATGTCATTGCTCTGCCTGAAATGTTCCACAGTGTGACATTAAACAGCTCTACCTTGCATTTATTCAATTACAGGTGGTTTTATAGCTCAAAAATCCCAAGAAAAACAGGTATTCTGACAGTGAGCAGTCGCCTCTCCACAGATCTGACCTGTAACTTGGTCTGGTTTGCTTTCCCATGAAGACAGAAAGGTTTAAAGCCATACTGTGAAACATTCCAGGCAAAAAAAAAAAAAAAAAAAAAAAAAACGTCTCAAAGAAGAAAGCTTTTAACGAACCCTCCACTAGAAAAGTTACACAATGCACCTTTAAGTCGTGAAGATTCTATTGACTGTTACTGACATTTAGTCGTTTTACTCTTAAATCATTATTTTATTTTTATTGGTCCCTTCAAGAATCGTTTGAATTATAGCTTGACCAATATCGCCCTCTTGTGGACAAAATGAATTCTGACTATTCTAACGCCAAAGCATTTCTATAAACAAAAGCCATATTTAACTTGTTTGTTTTTGAGGACCTTAAACAGAAAACAGGGCACTGGTGTAACTTGTGTATATACAGTATTTATTTCTGTTAATTATTTGTCTTTTAAAGGATAAATGTTGGTTCTGACCTTTTTTGATACAGTAACCTTTGACACATTTAAGGCACTTGACTGAACGACTCATTATTTTTGATTTACAGATGCATTTTTATTATGTTCAAAGTCATTGGTTTAGTTTATACATTTGATTCTGAATATTTTGTTGTGAATTTGTGTTCTGAAGGATTAGACCATACGCTATGTTTGCAACAACCACCTCCTGTATGTGAGGTTTATAAAGACTTTAAACGTTTCTCTGCGTTTTTTCTTCTATAAAACTGAAGTGTTTAATTATTTTATTGCACTGCTACAATTTTACCGTACCCATTGCATATTTCCATTAATTAAGGCATTTATCTTGCATATTTACATACAGTATTGATACTTTGCAGCTGATGCCGTCATTATTTCTGAAGCTAACTGGAAGCACTGCTCTGTCTAAAATTAGACTTTAGTCTGAGTTTTATTTTAACACATCTGACCAGAAAGAGCTGGTTTAGTTGGAACTACACCAACTATTCTGCTAGTCACACATAAAATTACAGTATTTGTTGATGTGTGTGCATTGTGTCATGGTAACCGCTACATGCATTTCTCATGGAGGTCCGTTTAGATTAAGGACACCCCCAGCCTAATATTACTGCAAAGTATCAACAGAGAAGCTGTTTCTATAAAGAACATTGTTAATAATAAATAAATATACCATATTACAGCCATAGCCCAAAAATCCTGAATCCTTCTGATTTCCCGAGATAAACTATACAAAACGTGCCATGTTAGTGTTATTTCTTTGGCATACGACAATAAAGCTCTACAGTAAATATGCAACATTATTGGCATATAATGAGGTCAAAAGCTCAGTTAATAAATTATGACTTTTCAATAATCTCATTAGTGCAAGCCACAGACAAAAACCTTTCGATTCAGTTCTGTTCATAAACCAACCACTGTCCGTTTCCCCCGTGTCGTCACAAAGCAACAAGCTGATGTTGGACTGAGCATCTTTTACGATCATATTTGAATCTGACCCATGAGGTTTACGAGAGAGGAAACGCTATCCTTCAGTTTGGAGTCGTCCTCTTCTCCCAGTGACACTCCAGCCAGACGTGTGGATCCATTTGCCCCCAGAACGCAGGGCAAACTCAGGAAGACTTCTGAAGAAATGCCTCCCCAACCCTGTAATCCAGAGAACACAAGAACACATGGATGAATTATTACGGTAGGTATCACGCTTTTCAGTGATGGAAGTGACTGTGATACTTAAGTAAAAGTACAGATACCGATAATATACATATAAAAAATACTCAACTAAAAGTATCACATGGAAAAAACCTACTGAAGTAAAACTATTAATGTACTTAAAGAGTAAAAAGTAAAAGTTTTCATGCAAGTTTTGAGATCTAATAAAGCTTCAAATGTAGTGATTTTGACAAAAATGTATACAGAATTTTATGCAGAATATTGTTTCGTTTTTTGTAGGAGTTTTTATTTGTATATTTTTGTTTGTTCAAACTGTGAACATGTTAAAATAAACCCTCAGCCTTTTCAGCAGGTCTCAAACTATCTATCTATTAATGCAAGGAACGTCTGTCTGTGTCTCTGTCTGTTTGTCTGTTTCACGTGTAAATCTCGAACCGCTCATCTGACTGATCTCAAATTCGGAGGGTGTCGTCCAAATGGTACAGGTGTGTGCAATGCCAATTTTCATGTTGTTAAGACAAAAAATGCCAAAGATCTGGTAAAATGAGTGATAGATTTTAAACTAATTTAAAAAAAAAAACTTTTCCTTTTCAGTCCTGTTAAAAAATGTAGAGCAGTAGAAAGTACAGATACCTGCTCTCAAATGTGGTGAAGTAAAAGTAAGTAAGTGGCCTGGGTCGCATTTGAAAAAATCGGATCTGTCTCGTTCAGACTGTCATTACAAGATCAGATACAGGTCACATAGAAGCCAAAAAAATCGGATTTGGGTCACTTCAGGCTGCAGTCTGAACGCAGCCTAAGTATCCTTTTTAAAATGTACTTAAGTAAAGTGCAGATACCTACAATTTTTACTTCAGCACAGTACTTTATTATTTTTACTTTGTTATGTTCCACCACTGACGGTTTCAGGAGTGATAATGAAATACTTTGAGATGTACCTGGGCGAGTGTGGACACAGAGTGGGCCTTCTTCTGATTAGTCAAAAGGCTGTTCGTGATGTCGGCGATGGACAAACCCACGGACCACGAGCGCTGACCTTTACTGATCATCTCAAAGCCTCTGTAATGTCAATGTTAAACAAATGCACTGATTAGGCTCACACATGTGGACACAATGCAAACACTGACAAAAACGTTTTAAGATGTTCTGTAACTCAAGACGAAAAATAGATAAATCAGTTCTTTCTGGTCAGATTGTGTTAAAATAAAGATCAGATTAAGTCTAACTTGAGTAACAGACAGAACAGTGCCTACAGGGAATATTGATGGCATCAGCTGCAAAGTTTCAATACTGTATGCTGATTAGGTTTATTTATCAACTCTTTTACCTGTCTAATAAAGGTTTGGTAGCAGTAGAAGCAGGTGCAATTTCTGGCCGTGTGCTGGAGTTCAGGCTGGTGTTACTCAGAACAGGAACTATACAGTAAGATTATGTGTTAATTATACAAAAATATGAACAGTTGTAGATGTAGAATCTGTGTATCATTCGTTCATTCGTTTTTTAATATAAAACCAAAGATAAGAAAATGAAAAAAACTACTATGTTCTTCATTATTTGTCTCCAAAACCAAAATGAACAAACAGATAATGATGTTTTTTTTTTAGTTTTCGGTTCTGTTTTAAAATGAATAATGGAAAAAACGGATAACGGCAGTTTCCCGTTTCCGTTACTTAAACTGCGTTGCCACACTTTTGCGCTGCATACGGACTAAACCAGGACTAAAACAGGAATGAACAGGTCTAAACCAGAATTGAACCAGGACTAAACCAGTTCTCAGTCCTGGCCTCAGTTCCAGTCTGAGCCCGGTCTGAGTCCCGTGTCTCAGTCCTGGTCTCAGTCCTGGTCTCAGTCCAGGTCTCAGTCCAGGTCTCAGTCCAGGTCTCAGTCCAGGTCTCAGTCCAGGTCTCAGTCCAGGTCTCAGTCCAGGTCTCAGTCCAGGTCTGGTCCCAGTTTCTCGATCACCCAACAGTCAATGCGGGCACACGTTTGGGCCAGTCCCGACACTCCTGGTTCAGTCCTGGTTCAGTCCTGGTTCAGTCCTGGTTCAGTCCTGGTTTAGTCCTGGTTCAGTCCTGGTTTAGTCCTGGTTTAGTCCTGGTTTAGGACTGAGACCGAGACTGAACCAGGACCAATACTGGGACTGGGACTAGGACTGAGACTGGTTTAGACCTGTTCAGTCCGGCATCGCAGTTTACATCACAGAAACAGGAAACAGCCATTACACGTTTTTTCCATTATTCATTTACACACAAAAACTGAAAACTAAACAAAAACTGAAAAAACTAATCGTTATCCGTTTTTTTTTTTTTTGGTTTTGGAGACAAATAATGAAGAAAATTATGTTTTTTTTTCGTTTTCTTATTTTTGGATTTATATTGAAAAACAAATGAACGAATGACACACAGATTTTGTAGCAGAGTTATGGATGAACCTTTGTTGTCTGAAAGCTCTCCTATGACCCAGGCTTGTTTGTGAGTGTTGAGGTTGATGTCTAAAACCCGGCTGAGCCTCTCTGAGTCCAAGTTACAGCCAGCGCCAATCACTCTCGTTGGAGGAAATCCACTTTGTCTCCAAGCAACGTGAGTCATTATATCCACTGGAGAGGGAGAAGAAGAAGTTAGGGATGTCAGTACTAATTACACCAGTAGACTTGCACCAAAATGCACACAAAATCTGACAGCTAAAAGAGCCCATATTATATTTAATGTTGTTTCCTCATCAAAAACAAAACTGAAGTTGTGTTTTGTTTAATTCACACATGTTTGCCACACAAACCCTGCAGATTTAGAGAGTTCTTCTCTCAAACTGTGGTCCATGGTCTGTGTTTTGAACTCCATACACCTTCATTAGAATAATTTGAATAATTTCAGCACTGAAACTGACAATCTCTACTGAAAAAATGTAAAAAGTAGCTGTTAACTTGAAACCTACCATTACATGACGTCACAAGGTCTGGGCAAGCACTTTCTCAACTAAACAAAACGTTTTGTTTGTATTGCAACTCATTCCGTGCCACTAACATCATCAGCTAATTTACTGATCAAAGTTAACATTCTTAATATTAATGACATTAATATTTATCAAATTTGTATTTTTATCAGTCAGTCTGCCCCAGGGCAGCTGTGGCTACAGTAGTATCTTCCCACCGCCAGGTATGGAGTAAATGAATAATGCCCTGTAAAGCGTCTTTGAGTGTCCAAAAAAGCGCTATATAAAACTGATGCATTATTATTAATCATTGCACATTTTAATTTCAAACCAATGCAGAGATTCATAGATACTCGTCAAAATCGTAAATTTCATGTTCCAAAATGTGTCGCAACAAGAGTTTTTCCTATGATACAGAGGTTGTAAATTGAGGAGCCAGTTTTCACATCTGTATTTTAATCCATGTTTGAATCCAAAGTATTTAATCTAAGGTGTGTAAATGTCTTTTTTATTATTATTGCTATAATATTCAGTTTTAATGTATTCATAAGGTGTAGGCTTTAATATAAGCCCTTTGGGGTTTTTTGCCTCTTCCGGCACCTACTTTTTCCTCTAGTGTGCTTTTTATAGTTATATGTTATATATGTTTAAAATAAATACATAAATAAATAAGGTAGAACAGGGCATTCTAATAATAAACTCAAACATGAATGTGTGAATGAAACAAACCCCAACTGCAGGTCTGTTTTTGAGAAAGTTAAAGCTCTCAAGAGTCAATATTTTGTAATATAGGACTTTTAATAATAGTCAGTCATTATATAATTGAAATGTCATGTAAACATCACAAACACAAATATGTGATATGGGTTATTTAAAAATTCATTGTACTTTGTCTTTCCAAATACAACAGTAACTCTAAAAATCCACTGATGAACTGACACATGCCACTGTGCCTGTTTGATGATCTAATTATTGCGTTATCTGATCATTTTAAGCTTTATCTGATTGTTACTGGCCGCGTAAACCCACTGACCTGGCTGAGAGGCAACGAGGATGACAGCATTGGGGCTCAGGCGTGACAGTTTTGGTATGATTCCTCTGTACAGGTCGACATTGGTCTGAACCACCTTCACGTACGACTGCTCGCTGCTCCAGGCGTTTGCAGTCACCACCACAACTCTGGAGCCGGCGGAAGAGGACAAATCTGAGAAGAGACAAACGAGCGAACGTCAGAAATACAAACACACTGCCAACCTGCGCCCAGATAACATTCAAAAACTGTTCTACACAAATGAATTCAAATACAATCTGAGATGTCAAATCAATTTAAAAAAAACAATTCGCTCAAAATACTCTCAAAACCATGTGTTACAGACATGGAGTAGACTTATGGAAGAGCTTAGATGACCATATCAAAGCTTGTACTAACTTGGTGCACTTCAAAAAACAATATAAAAATCTGATCTTACAGAAAAACCTAGAAGACTAGATCCATTCTCTTTACAAGTAAACCACAACTCTTAACTAAACACATGCTTTTAACATGACCTTTTATTCTGATACAATCATAAATGATAAATTTTGTACCTTCTTTGTCATTATTATTAGTTTGTACGACCATTATCATAAAAGAAAAAAAAATCCTTACATTCTTCATTCTTATTTTGCTTATTTTGATACAGTCATGTCATTATTATTTGTTTGTATGACCATAATGCAGTACAATACAAGAAAAACGAAATAAATTGGGTCAAAATTATATTTAGTATGCATAGTATGTACTTCATTTTGCTCTATGTAAACATTTGTAAAGTTTCATCATCAATGTACAGAAGCAACGACATCATTTTTGAATTTTTGAAACTATGTCATGAACAGGGGTGGGTTAATATAATTGTTTTCTTTTTCCCACTCCTTTTTGAGAAATGTGCTTTTCTCTGTGATCATTGTTTCTCTCTTGGCACAAACTCGAAATAAAAACAAATCAAATCACAATCAAAATCAAAATCACTACCAGTCAAAAGTTTGAACTCACCCTCTCATTCCATGTTTTTTTCACTACTTTCTACATTTTAGGTACATACAGAAGACATCAAATATATGAAGCAAGATATATGGAATTATGTAGTAAAGAAAAAAGGTAAATAACAGAACTAAATATTTTTGACAAAGCAAAAAGTGGCTATTTAGAGTATTTTGTTATTTAATGCTTATTTCTTTGCTACATACTTCCATATATCTTCTTGAAAGGTGGACTGCGCAACTTTTCTGGTGTCAGGTTTATCACCTCCTTGTCTCCATGGAGATGTTAATGCTTTCCATGGAATGTTCCCTGGTATGACATTAAACATATCCATCCAGCATTTGTTCATTAACGGTGTTTCTCTTGCTCAAAAATACAATAATTCCTTCCATCAGGTGGCAGACCCTCCACTTGACATGTTAAGCAGTGCACATTTAATATATTTGATCTCTTCTGTATGTAAATAAAATGTAGAAATTAGTTAAATATAAAAAAGAAAATGTTGAAAGAGATGTGTCCAAACTTTTGACTTTTAGTGTCGTCATGGAGGCAGGACAATGTTACGTAAACCATGTCTTTTGTGAACGTGGACAATACATTCCACAGAGCATGACGATTGCTTCTCCACTTACGCGTGTTATGACTCAAACTACATTTTGTCATGACACGGCTTTACATACCTCTGGACACTTCCACCTTTGGGACGTTGAAGATTTCGAGGTCTGTGCTGCCCCCCTTGGTGGAACTTTCCGTAACGTCAATGAAGACCAGTTTAGCTACTTTACACTGCAAAAAGGATTTCAGAAGTGAATGTGGTACTAGGCCTGTCACAGTAACAAAGTTTGAAGCACGATATATCGCTACAGAGAAATATTGTGATAAACCAGGGGTGTCAAATTCAAATTCACAGAGGCCAGAATTAAAAACTGGGACTAAGTCTTGGGCCAAACTAAATATTTATTGAAAATTATTAACAACATCTGCATGTTTTCTCTTCTTTCGAGATATGTAATGTTAAACCTTTTCTTATTAAAATAACAATTTAATAATAGTTTTGCTTAAATATTGAACCCAGAACAAGCATAAAATAAAATAATAACAACATTTTAAATAAATAATGTCTCTATAGCCTATCTGTAGCTGGCGGGCAGCTCTAATACAGATTTGATATGATCTCGCGGACCAAATATAATTATATTGCGGGCCAAATTTGCCTCCCAGGCCTGAGTTTGACATGTCTGTAATAAACGATAAAACTGAAACTACTTCATACCACTGTCACAAAGCAGGATAATTCAGTGAACCGTATTTTAAATATACTGCATCATTAAAAGGCCTTAGCAGCAACAAATGAACAGCAGAATGAATTCATATTTAGGCATAAAGGTTATTTATTCCACCTTCTACACTTCAAATCTTACGTTAATAAATAAAAATGGCAAAAATCTCCCTACTTTGTCAAAGTAGTTGTACACATGATCAATACTGAGCCCCAAAATATATTGTTCCAGCTTTCATATAAGTGGAGTTAATATGATTGCCTGAGAAAAGGGACCTAGTAACATAAATTATTGGAAGGCCAAATTAACCCAAAACATGCTACACAGGTCTCCAGGAAGAATAGCCGATAGCTAAGTTCAATTAAATACAATTAATCAATTAACTTGCCCAGGGACTACAGGTAGAAATTAGCACTGGTACTACAACCTGGTACAATGCATCTCTTCTGTTAAGGTTAATGTAGATTGTGCACTTTCCCTGTCTCATTAAATAAATAAACTAAACTAAACCTCATTGGACTATGACTGACTAAAGATTCAGGAGCAGGACCACACCTCAACCTCCCCCTACTCCTCTCCAGTGAACCACAACTCGACTCAACCACACCTTCAGTTACCCAGAAGCCCTATTTACACTGGCCTATCCCGATAACAGTCTGTCTCCGCTCTCTCGAGCCCCTCCTTCCCACCCTTCAGCCTGACGACATCATCTACAAAAAGGAAGGGGTGGTCCTGAATCTGCTGGCCTGACCACCTCAGATAGAGCCCCCATCCGGAGTCTCCTCCCAGCCATCACATTTATCCATCGTCAATAAATACCTTTATTGTATTGCATTGTTGTGGCTGTAGTGAATGGATGCTAAGTCTATATAGTAATTATCATGACAGCCCTACTATGTGTAACCATGTGTATGAAATGTTTATTTATTTAAGTCACTGAGTAAAAAGCCTTTTACCTTTGATACAATGCTCAGCACCGAAGCCATCCCCAAGTCTCCACCTCCGATAACTGAAACTTTAATGTTCTGCTGGTCATGATATCTGACTCCACCTGAAAGCAAACAGTTTATGAAAATAGTTTGTTCAGTGACTAAACAGAAAGATAAAACATTAAATATATATCAGACTGTATAAAGAAGTGTGACACCATAGCGTTCGGCTCCAGTCATTTATAGGAGCAAATTTGTAGCTGAGTTTCATAGGAATAGGAATTTATTTACTGACAAAATAGTGAAATAAAAACACCAGGATCATGTAGAGCCGGTTAATATAAACATTTTAAGACCAAAATGATGAAGCTCACTGTCGCTGTTACGGAGAGAGGGACAAACTTTCAAGGTAAACTCAATTGGAGCCAGAGTTGATGGAGCTAGAAACACCACTTTCCAAATTTGAAAGCTATGTCCATTTATATATACATTTATATCATCATACCATCATTAATTTGTAGATTTGAGACCATAGCCATAAGCTCATGTGGATCTTTGCTCTGAGATGTGTTTTTTGAAGACAAAGGCGGATCCTCTTCAAACTTTGCAATCATTTCATTTAAGAGACCAACTACAGATGACTTAGGCTGTTGGAAAAAAAAAAACACACAACTCAATTGAACAAAGCGCTGACATAATAATAATGATGTTTCTATTGTGAAGAGAAAAGCATACGTAATCCCAGTTGTGCAGTCCAGGCAGATGAATACGTCCTTTGGCATCCACATGTTTTCCTTCTCGGATAATCATATTAGAGGTAGGTCTCAAGAAGCAAATGGGAGGAGTGAAAGGGAAGGAGTCTATTAACCACAGCTGAATAGGAAAGTTGTAGGTACGCCCTTAAAAAGAAGTTGTCATTAGTATTACAATACCAATACAATTTAGTACCAAATATTGTTTAAATTCATTCTACCTTCATACTCGACTGGTATATTCCCAATTAGTTTCAGGAGATCTCGCTGACTGCTGTCATTGAAGGCTAAAAATAATTGTATTAATATGAATAAGAGCGTATCAATATTAAAAGGTCCTATATTACGTATAAATTGACTCTTGTAAGCTTTAAGACATGTTATAATGTTGTTACCGCATCAAAAACAAACCCAAAGTTGTGTTTTGTTTCATTCACACATGTTTCAGTAACACTTAATTATTAGTCTGTGCACATCTCCAGACCTCAAAATGCGCTGTTCCACCTTGTGATGTCATTAAGCGGTACTTTACAGCTACCTTTTACCTTTTGTTGAGTAGAGAATGGCAATCCCAGGGCAGAAATCATCCAAATTATTCTAGTAAAGGTGTATGGAGTTTGAAACAGGGTTCCCCCTCTTTCAAAACTTTTCCATGACTTTTTCCTGACCTAAAGTGAATTTTCCAAACTTTGCGGCACCTACATGTGTAGAACTGATCATACTTTTAGGGTTAAATATGAAATGTTAACCCTTTCCACTCACCTTATGGTTTGGTATTATAGTTTTTAACATTCAAAATACTGTCAGTGCAACAAAAGGCGCATACATTCGAAAATAGTCACGATAGCCTAATGATAACTTAAAATAACGCTGTAGTTGCATGAAAGAGATACTAAAATTCCATGAGTTTTCTAAAACTTTCATTGAATTTACAAAAAATCATGACTTTCCATGACCGTGGGAACCCTGTTCAAAACACAATGGAGCACTTCCTGTATTGCCACATGACATCACAAGGTGGAACAGAGTGTTTTCTGGTTGAGAGAAGAACTTTAACTTTAAATATGCAGGATTTGTGAGTTAAACATGTGTGACTGAAACAAAACACAACTCCAGGTCTGTTTGTGATGAGAAAAAAACATTATAACATATCAGAAAGTTGCATAATATGGGCCTTTAAATATACGAAAAATGATATGAACAAATACTTACTGTATGTCCCAGTGGTAGGTTTCATATCTGGGTAGATACGATGGATTTTCTGTAATTCTTCAACAGCAACTTCATTGAATTTGTACTGATAACACACAAATAGTTAACATAAAAATACATTAATATTGTAAAAGAAAATTCAATAGTATAATATAACTGGTTTGTTTAATTTTATATAGAATTGTTTTTCAAATTAAATAAAATATTTCTCATCATACACCCGAACCTTTGCCTGATTTCTTTTGTCAGAAGCAACAGAACAAGTTATGCCAGTTGTAAAATACACTTCAGGCTTCAAGATTCATCAATTATTACTTCAAATTAGCCGTAAATCTGTGACTAACCTTGGACAAAATTCGTTTAATTTTATCCGAGCTGAGATCCATTTATTTGAGAGCCAGAAAAAAAAGTTTGCTGTTAAAAACTTGTGAGTAATTGCTGTCTTTGGTTTCAGTAGCACTAAACAAACTTCCGCAAATAAAAGAGACAAGCCTCAGACCACGCCCACTATGAAGTCCCCGAGTACGGCAAGTCTGAGGGATCAAATATGTCCAAGAAAAATTGAGATGTATATTTAATAAATAAATTAAACTAAAAATAATTTAAAAGTTTTAACTCTTGTGAGATTTAAGTCACGTTATAATGCTATTACCATTATCAAAAAACATACCTGGAGTGGGGTTTTGTTTCATCCACACTTTTAAGCAACCATCTCCAAAGCTCAAAATGCACTGTTCTACTTTGTGATGTCATGTAGTGGTAGTTTTACTAGTTAATTTTGGTGAGCAGTCGTCCCTAGACAGTCCCAGTTTTGAGTCCTGTGTCCCCTGTCCCAGCAGATTTATCCAGAACCACTGATTTGTCACAGTTTTATACCAAAAAGTCCCATGTGTCCCTATTTTTGATCAATTTGATACCTGCCAAAAGTTAAAAAAAAAAAAAAAAAAAAAAAAAAAACGAGCCATAAATTGACATCTAGTTAATTAAAATATAGAAAAGTATACTTAAAAATGACCAAAACAAAGAAAATGTGACTATAGTGACTCACATGTTTGTCATGAATGGGCCAAGTGCAGAACAGTTTTCTTTAATTATGCACTCATTTCACAATTTTATTATTACCAACCACCACAAACCGGCCTTGTCCCAGTTTTTGATTCTGAAAATATGAACTCACCCTATAGTGAACAGCCGCCATTTATCTTTAGTTCAGTAGAGTTTTGGGGTGATTCCAGGGCTGAAATCATCAAAGTAATTCTAGTGAAAAAGTATGGAATTTAAAAACACAGTGGAGTAGTTCCTGTAGTGCCACGTGACATCACAAGGTGGACCTGTGTGAAAATTCACTTAAATATGCAGGGTGAAGCAAAATACAACTCCAGATATGTTTTTGATGATGAAACATTACGACATATATCATAAATAAACATAAATAGCGTAATATGCACCCTTTAAACTCAGATATTATTTTGTTACTACCCAGTGACAATTATTTGAGCATCATTCTCTTTACCACTATTTCTCAAAAACAGAAGTGTGACTCAGCTTACCTACTCTTTGTCACAACTACACAAACTCATGACAAATTGAAATAATAAAATGTATAGTTAGTGTTAGGGAGGAACAGATTACATGTACCGGAGTTACATAATCAGAGTACAAATTATGAGTAACTGTATTCAGTTACAGTTACTGTTTAAGTGAGTGGTAATTGGATTACAGTTACTTTGTTGAAATAAATGGATTACATGGCGATATTTTCCTGTTTTTACATTTTGGGCTATTCCCTTTTTTTGTTTGTTTGTTAATTCCACTCATTGCACACCAGGTCTAAACCCAGGTCCAAACCAGTTCTAAACCTGGCCTAAATCAGGTCTAAAACCAGGTCTAAACTAGGTCTAAACCAGGACTAAAGCAGGACTAAAGCAGGACTAAACCAGGACTAAAACCAGGTCCAAACCTGGACTAAACCAGGTTCAAACCAGGTCTAAAACAGGATTTAACAGGACTAAACAATGCTGTGCGGACCATGTCTCCTCCTCTTCCATCAATAATATTTTTAATTTGGTTGAGTAAAGTCTGGGTTTTTCATTGTCTTTTAGCAAACAAAACATCTTATGTGAAGATTTCTTCGTCTTTGCTTCTCTACAGCAAATCCAGTAATCTAAAGTATTCAGATTATGTTACTCCCTTTAAGTAATTTAATGGATTACGTTACAAACTACATTTTGGGGTATATAATCTGTAATCTGTAGGGGGATACATTTTAAAGTAACCTTCCCAACACTGTGTATAGTAAAAGCCAAAACACATGTCTCAGGTCAAGTGTTTTTATACAAAGCAATAGTCCATTTTGTATAAAGAACTGCCAGGATACATATGTTGAAAATAAATTAAATAATCACTTAAATGCTTTTTAAATATTGTCAATCTTCTGTAATATGTCTGCATAATTAAAATGTATTTATAATAATTGAAAAATATGCAACAACTTCAAGTCAAAAATAGCATGTCATTGCAAAAGACATTTAATGCCATTATCTAAAAATCATTTTATATTAATCTGTACATCCGTGTGGAGAACATGTCCTTTCAGCACACGCTACGTTAGCACAGAAGTCAGAAAGAAAAATAAATATGAGAATTTTAAATCGCTTTCACCATGTTTTTGCAAATACATTATATGCTTTTTGCTAAAATGTCCAATGTCCACAGTCCACACATTGTTGGAAGTGAAGGACACAAGGTTCATGAGCGAATACGAGGAAAGACCAGATTTAGACATGGATCGCTGGTATCACTTTTTTCTGGGCTTTTTGGCCATTTTCCTTTTCATTTCCTCCTCTTCTTTCTTCTCCTCCTCGAGATCTTCCTGTACAGCCATTCTCAAACTAAAGTGAAGAAAACAACAGCACTGTAATAATTATTATCAAATATAATCAAGTATTTTAAAAGGTGCACTGTGTAACTCGTCTGCTGGAGTATTGTAGTGAAGACCGCACTAATCGAGACCAAGACCTGTCCGAGACCACAGGGTCCCAAGACCAAGACAAAGACCAAGACCTCTAGGGGCTGAGACCAAGACAAGACCGAGACTTTTAAAAACCAAGACTGAGACAAGACCGAGACCACAACCCTTCAAGACCAAATCATGACCATCTTTGTCATTTTCTACATTTATTTGTATTTTTAGAGTTATTATGGCACATACATATCAATGTTTTTATAAATCTATCTCCATTTTATCACTGGTCGAGTGTCAGACCTCGAAACCGAGACAAGACCAAGTCCAAACACGGTCGAGTCCAAAAAAATGGTCACGAGGTTGGTCTCGAGACCATTTTTGTCTTGGGTCTTGAGTATTACGACAATAGCTGGAGGCTCCATCACCTGTTGGTCTCCATGGAGATGTGCCTAGAATGTTCCACAGTATGGCCGTAAACTTATGAATCTCCATGGACACTTACAAACCAAACAAGTAAGTAAGTAAGTAAATAGATCTTTATTTATATAGAGCACAAGCGCAATCAGAGACAGCAACCTGGTCCCACATGAGGCATCGGTCGGGGCAGTTCATCACCACGGAAGCAGCTTATGAGGAGCCCAGCCCATACCCCGGTTATGTGTGTGCCAACTTTTGTAATGATTGGGTGAATATTTTAGGCCGCAGATCGTCCAGAAATTGCAGAAATTGCTGATCCTTTACAATGGCGTGACATTTTAATTGACCCGTGTGACCGCAAATGATCTTGGATCATCACCAAACTTTTTTTGCGGCATCGGGCACGGCGGCTTGACCCACGTACCAAATTTGGTGACAATTGGAATTATCGTGGGTGGACAGACACCCAGACACACAGGGTGAATACAAAATCTTGTCAACCCTTCGGGGACCAGGTAATTACTGGTTAGATTTGTGGAGAGGCGACCCCCACTCACAATAAGAATGGATGCTTTAAAGATATTTTTAAGCAAGTAGAAACACCAGTAGTTGAATAAAAGAAAGACAGATTAGTTTAATGCCATACTGTGGACAATTTAAAGCATAGCATTAACATCTCCATGGAGACAAACAGGTTGCGAACCCCCTCCAGAAAAGTTACACAGGGCACCTTTACGTTAACAGACACTAACCTTCTGGCCTCCTCCTTTTGCATATCTTTCCAGCTGCTCTCCATAAATCGTAGTGCATAGTCACTTTCATCCTTGAATCTAAAGAAGCAGATTAAATTAAAAGCAAAATTATGAAAACATGTTTAATCCACAAACAAGTACTGGGTGTAGATGTATGTATGTAAAATTCTTACTTGTTTCGGTCGTAGCCAAAAATTTGCTTAATGTGTTGGGAAATGTCTTCTGGATCATCGTCACCATCATCAATAAAATCATCCATTTCAGAATCATACTCGTCTTCCTCGTCCTCAAATTTCCTCTTGTACGCAGAGGTGATGGGCGGTAACATCGGACCTGGATTAAGAAGCAAAACAGCAAATAATACACTTATTATCAGAACGTTATTGGTGGTTTTCAGATTGTAGAATATAATACTTTCAGATTGGAAAACAAGAGCTGGTTTTCCCTATTGATTACATTCTACATGAAATATCCAAAAGGTAAATGTAAAAATGTTAGACTTGATAATTTCTATTACTGAACAGACCTGAGAGCCGACCATTTTACAACAAAAATCTGCATTTCAACAATAATTATAGCTGCCCCCATCTTTATTACGGTAAAGAATACTGGCCTATTAGTAGTTTTCAGATTCTAAAATGTGATCATGATTGCACTGTATTTTATCATGACATATCCAAAAAGTAAATTCACAAATGTTGAACCTGGTATTTGAGCTGCTCGATTATGGAAAAAATCATTATCACGATTATTTTGGTCAATACTGAAATCACAATTATGTTTTAGTTACACATACATTTATACAGCATTTCTCTCTCAATAAAAAACACTTTGTTATTGATAATTTACAAATTGAAAATAAATATAGGCTACAAATCTGTACATTAGAGCAGTTTTGTGATGTATAAAACAAAAAAAATTATAAAATATACAAATAAATATATAAATGTACCCAAAATAAACCATATATCCAGCTGTTCTACAATCTCTACCTTTAAAAAATAAAATAGATATACTTATTTATATAAACCATATTCCAAAATAAACTTTGCTAATCATTTCAACTCGATTATTGGAGATCGTTTGACACACGAATTGAAATGGCGATCAAAATTCTATTAATTGCAGAGTCTTACCTGGTACTGTAAATTAGACAAACCCATGAAGTCACTGTGTTACAACATAATTATGTGTTTTAATTAGGGGTGTAACGATATCCAAGTCTCACAATACGATATGAACCTGACGATACGATATTTATTGCGATATCATGGAAAAGCTCACGATATGGTGGGGAGGCTCACGATGTAACAATAATCTCTGGGTACGATATTTATTGTGATATTTTGTGGAAGCTAATAAAACTGTTAATATGCTACTTTTTCCTCTTAAAATGCCTTGACAAGACTTAATCCAAAGAACGAAGTCTTAAAAGTGCTTAGAACTGTTATTTCTTCTTGTAGTTTACACTGAAATGGAGCAAAGGATCATGGTCTATGTACTTCCCTCTGTCTTTACCATAACTCTTAATTTAAGCAGAGACTTGTAATTCGATATATTGTGATGGTCCACGATATTATTGTGAGAACTTTGATGTCACGATATCACGATATTTTGGTTACTGTTACATCCCTAATTTTAATCATTTAAATTTTAGCTGTCCCCCACCTGTAATAAATAATATTGGCCTATAGGATGCTGTGAAGTCATCTGAAACCTGCAGCAGCATATTTGAAGCATGTTTTGGGAATAATTACTCATACTAATCACTACTCAAGCAAGTGCTTTACCTGGGGGTCTGTTCATAGGCCTTGGGGGCATTCCAGGTCTCTGTTGCCCCATTCCGGGTCTTTGTTGTGGCATGCCAGGTCTTTGTTGCCCCATTCCAGGTCTTTGCTGTTGCCCCATTCCTGGACGCTGTTGTGGCATTCCGGGCCTTTGTTGCCCCATGCCAGGTCTTTGCTGCTGCCCCATGCCAGGTCTTTGCTGCTGCCCCATGCCAGGTCTTTGCTGCTGCCCCATGCCAGGTCTTTGCTGCTGCCCCATGCCAGGTCTTTGCTGCTGCCCCATTCCAGGCCGTGGTGGAGGACCGGATTTACCCCCTGCCACATTCTTGGATGAGATAGTTTCTGACACAACAGTACATCTGGGTGCTCCAGCTCCACCTCCCACACTGCCAGACAGTCTCCCTGGAGTTGGCCCATTACCAGGTCTGCTTTGCCCAACTGTCTGAGGTCTGCCCGCACTGGCACCAGGCCGAACTCCAGATTTCATTTGGGGTGGGCCTCCTGGTCTGGCCTGAGGATGACCTAGTTTACTCGAGCTGCTCAGTCCTGGTTTGGGTGTAACATTTGATTTTACATTCGCATTCACTCCTGGTCTTTGCAGTTCTTTTTTCTGTGGCTGATTTTTTTGACTCGATAAAGCTGAACTAGAAGGACGATTTCCAGGAGAGGCCTCAGATCTTCCTTTATGTAACAAGGAGTTATCTTTTTTGGCACTAAGGTTATTTGAGGCTGATGATTTGTGGCTAGATGAAAGTTTGGTCCCCATTTGTTTAGTTGAAACTTCAGAATTCGAAGGTCTCGATGACATTTTATTGCTGGATGAACTAGATGACCCTGGTTTGATTCTGTCCTTTTCTTTATGAGACAGATTAAGTTTATCTCTGTCATTAACACTTGATTTAGAAGAAGAGTTTACTTTATTATTCTTTTCTTGCCTCGGTAATTGCTTATCCGTACTGCCAGATATTCTTGGCTTCTGTAATTTATTTTTTTCAAGGGTGGCTTTAGATGAACTTGAGCTCGAGTGAGACATACCATCTTTCAAATTCCTCTCCCCCTTCACACATTTATCTAATTTTTTAGCCTTACGTTCTAGTTCCAGTTCCCTTATTTCGTCAGCCGTACGGAGCCTTTCTTCCTTTTTTACGATCTTAGGTTTCAACTCAACTGGTTCGTGTTGTTTTTTTTCCGCCAGCTTAAGTAAGTCTGCGAAGTTAAACGGAGCAGATTTTGGAGCCGAACTTGGTTTAACTGAGGACTTAGAACTGCTATTATTAAAAGTGTTTCTTGGTGGCTCCGGCTCTCCTTCAGAATCTGTTTGCTCATATTCGTAATTATCTTCATCGTCTTCAGGGTCTATTACGTTGTTTCTAAAATTATCTGAATGACTATCGTTATTTCTTTCTTGTTCCATTTCTTGCTTCGTTCTTCTTTTTTTGGGAGTTTCTACAACCGGGACACCGTTGTAACCTCTGAAATTGTCCTTAGTTCTGGAGGCCATAGCTCGGGCTTTGCGGTCCGATTTCAGCTCAACCCTTTTGGCCAAGAGCTCTTCTTTCTGTTTCCTCATTTCGATTTCTGAGGAACACACAATAAAAGATGATGTTAGTGATACAATGTAATTCTTAAGGGTGCACTGTGTAACTTTTGAAGTGGAGAGTATGTCATCTGCTTTTTTCAGTGGATATATCATCGCTCTGCCAGGAATTTTCTAGCCTGATTCATCGCAGTGTTACAATTCGTTCACTCAATGTATGCGAGTCCTTTTTTCATTTAACCAGTCGCTGCTATTTGGTCGTGACGTATGTAATGCGCCGCTAATGGAACTAACTGGTATATTAAGTTTTTCCCAAATCCCGTAGGAAGAAGGGCAATAACATCTTTCCTCTTGATAAAATTCACCAAAACATTCTCTTTATTCAGCTTTAAATCCTCGATCTCGGGAATCGTTGCCAACACAGAATATATGGCTCTTCACTGATTGGCTGGTGCCCAAACTCGCACTTCCAGGGTTCTTGTAAACCGTGTAGTGTATTCCGATTCCTGACATAGTCGCTGGAGAGAAATGAAATTGAGGGGAGGCACTAGGTGGCACCAGCCTGACTAGGAATGTTCCACAATAAACTGTTCTACTTTATATTTATTCAATTACAAGTGGTTTTATAGCTCAACAGTACAAAGAAAAAAGGCATTCTGACTCAGCGGGGTCGCCTCTCCACAGACCGGCCCTGTAACTTGGTCTGGTTTGGTCTCGATGAAGATGGAAAGGTTTAATACCATACTGTGAAACATTCCAAACAAATCAATAACACCTCCTTGAAGAAAATCGTCCAACAAACCCTCCACGAGAAAAGTTACACAATGCAATCCTTAAAACACAATTAATTTCAAAGTGTTCTTACCTTTCTTCTTGCTGTCTGTCTGTTGCTTTTTCAGGAGGGCCTGTATTGCAGCAGGGTTCACTCCTTTAGACTTGGGATCTTTCTTTGGTGGACCAGTTTGTAAGCTGTATCTTTTCTGGAAATCGGAAACCATTGAGAAAATAATTAGCGTATGATAAGCTTAAGTTGAGTTACTGATACAATTTTAAATCAATCAAAAATTAAGGCTTTTTATGGCGTTTTCTTATAATGAAATGTGCTGCTAAAGTTCAAATTTAGCTTGTAGGCTTTGGGGTAGATGGCAGATAGCTCGCCCTTAGCAGCTGTTTAGGTTTACGGTTCAGTACACGTGATGGAAAGCTATTTAACCAAAGAAATCTTTATGTTTATCTTACCTGTACATTGCTCCCTCCCTTGTTTTGAGTAGCAATAGATAAAACATTGTCAAAGTCCATCATTTTTGCTGCTGATGTTAAAAACTGGCAGGCTGCTGGACAGAAAGTGTGGCACTGTGTTTACTTAAGTACCACAGCTGTAAGAGGGTTTAATAGCAGATCGTAAACTGTGTGCTTTGTAGAAAAAAAAAGGCCACAGTTGCCACGTCTGTCCTCTTTATAAAAAGTCCAACACGACAGAAGAAAAAATGTGTTTTAAACCTGAGTCAGTCTACATCTGTGTGCGTTTACGGGGGGTTAGCATAGTTAGCCACTGTCATCACAAACCAGCCGTCAAGTCAGAGTGGAGGAGACAACGACACATAAAACTCAAGAATTAGCCATCAAACTACATACTTTAAATGAAAAAAGTCAATAAAGATAAATGAATCCGCTACAGCGACGACTAAAGGGAAAAACTAGTGACCGAAGAGACAACGCAGGAAATAAGAGGGATGATCCTTCTGAACTTCCGCTTTCTTCAGCTAAAAATTTTAAAAAATACAAAATAAAATACAAAATAATAATAATGAACGACAACAAAAAATATACCATAACAACGTTAGTATTTATTTATATAGAATAATATTTAAAATAAATAAATAAATAAATATATGTTTGACTCGTACGTTTAAAGTTTACCACGTGGTGTCACTGTTTTCTTGAATGAAACGCCGCCCAAATCATCTACTAGAAGTTTCTTTGACCATTGAGCCATTCATTCTGGAGTGATTATGCAATATTTTGATGTATTATTCCATCACTGTAGCTTTGACTTAAACAAACCACAGAGGAAATTGCTTGTGCACAGCAGCTCTTACATTACAATATATTTACAAAGTTCTATGTTATATGATAGATAGATAGATAGATAGATAGATAGATAGATAGATAGATAGATAGATAGATAGATAGATAGATAGATAGATAGATAGATAGATAGATAGATACAATAATATAGCAGCAATTGTTAGACAGACAGACAGATCAAATAAAAATAAATAATTTAATGGCAAGAATATCCAGAGACTTGTGTTTAATAAGGCACACATACACATTTTTATATGTATATAAGTAAAATAAAATAAAAGTATAGGTCTGTCTAGGTTATAAAAGAGGTGTTGGAGTAATAGTGCATAAATGAAATGGTAATTTGACATGAACCCTTTGACACTAATGGCTTAATATTCTATCTACTTAACATAAAGGTGTGGTTCTTTTATATCCTGAATACTTGTTGGTTTCTTCGATATTATATTCACAGTTCAGTGTTTCTCGAGTCCTATAGCCTAAAATTCCTCCTCATATTCTAAAAACAACTTGGATTATACATTGGCATTACCAAAATCACACTTTCTTGCCCATTGTTGTATCATAAACATTTAAAAGTAACTATACTGGGTTAAAAGGACTGCTTTGGGATTAAATATAGGCAATAAACGTCACTTATACTCCACAAATTGCATAAAGTGACATTATTTAAATCTTGTGCCGTCATATTTCACCAAAATCTATGGGAAACACTATTCTTTCACATGTAAATAAAGGCCATCTGCTTTAAAATGTAAACACCATGTGAGCCCTCCTATTGAGGCGTGTTCAGAGCCTGGTCCTGCCCATATTTCCACAACCCTCTCCTCTGATTGAGCGACACTTCACTTTGCGCCGCCCATTACCGAGAAGACAAAAACAATCCGCATCCCCCTTGCCGCTGCAATATCCAGAAACGGGCAAACTTAAGCCTGACATCGTCCTTTTTTGAGTTATTTGGCAAGATAAGACAATGGTTTCGCCCGTAACGGTGGTAAGTGATGTTTTATTCCATGGTAAATAGCTTAAAATAAAGTGATGCGGCTCAGAGAAGGCTGACTTTCGGTAATGCTCATGTATTTTCACCACAATAGGTTCTGCTGTGACCAGGGTTTACACGTATTATTCTGCATTTTTATTCATTTAACTTATCTTGAGATTATCCTGTGATCAAATCCTGTTTCTTGATTAAAATATAAACCAAAATCCAGTGACCCAGTGAGTGTGCGTACAGTTGTTCTGCGCACACGAAAGGTAGGAAGTTTGATGGTGGTTTTATTGTTCTCTTTTGTCAGATTTTCACGTACAAAATAGTCTGTTCTACATTATACCTGACGACGTTTCTACACATTTCCAAAAGCAGTCCCTGGCCAAATAGGAAGCCTGTCATGTGACGACCTTTTTTGTCTCGTTTCTTTCCTGTACTCTCCAGCACCGCATGCGCAAACCTGGCATCTGCTGTGGCTGGCTCTTTTCATCTTCCCTCATGTGTTTTGCATAGTAGAATCTATTGTGTGAAATAGTGCGATTTATATAACAGAGCAGGAAAGAGACGTGGAGATCAGGGCCAAACATGACAGCTGGTACAGTAATTAAAGCCTTCTCTGGCATCTTCTTTCCTTGACAGAGCTGATAAAATTGTCAGGCGTATTACTTCTGTCTGCAGCAAGAATCCTGTTTTGTGTTACCTGGAATGCATTGTAGAGAGTGTGCTCTGCTGAAGTGGTTTTTATCTTCATGATCAAAGTTTCGGTTTATGGAAGTAGTCAGATTTGTTTCTTTATTATTCTTCAGGCACAGTATGTTGTCACGCTGTAGCAGTGGCAGTAGTAAAAGTAATATTGTTTATTATATATAGATCTGCTTTTACATCCCTAATACAACTTTTTGTAACTTAGTGTCATATTATTTTCATGTCATAATTGATCTAGGGGTGTTAAGTTTTCTTCTTTCTTCTTCCCACTCCCTGCTTTTCTGCAAAAAAAAAAAAGCTATAAACACTTACATTTATCAGAAAATGAAATTATCTGTCCATGCAGCAAGATCATTTTACTTGACAAATTCTCTTAAAATAAACAACCGCTAGACTACAATGAATCAATCTCAGAACTAGTAAGTAGATAATAAATCTGAAAACAAGATGAATAACCTGATATGATTATGAAATAAAAACAAATCAATCTCTTTTTCTCAATACATTTGGAAGATCAGCTCAAAGTAAAGCTTCTTCTTTTAAATAAGCCTGTCATGATTAGCCTGATTCATCAGCAAGTTTCACTTCATTGAAACCGTCTGACCTCGCAGCATAAGGATTCATTCGCTTGACGGTAGGCGAGTCCTTTTTATCATTTAACCAATCGCTGCTATTTGGTCATGACGTATGTAATGCGGTGCTAACAGGACTAACTGGTATATTAAGCTTTTCCCAAATCCTGTAGGAAGAAGGACAATAACGTCTTTCCCCTTGATAAAATTCACCAAACATTCTCTTTGTTCCAGCTTGAAATCCTCGATCTCGGGAATCATTGCCAACACAGAATGTACGGCTTCATCTACATCCATCTCGACCGCTTTGTTTACTGTTGTACAAAAGAGACCCAGTCATGGCTTCACAGCTCTTCCCTGACTGGCCGGTGTGCGGTCTACAAGTTCCGGGGTTCCGATTCCGAACTGTGATTCCGAAGTGTATTCCGATTCCTGACCGAGTTGCAGGAGAGAAATGAAATTGAGAGGAGGCAGTAGTTGGCGCCACCCTGGCTATGTCATGATAACACTCTCAGAGATATACTGTACTGCGATAAACTGTAATATTGAAACTAGTCTAATGAGGACTTCCAATAATTTATATTATTTGGTTCCTTTTTTCAGACCAAGAGTTTGTTTTCATACCCGACAGTTTCAACTGCTCACTCGCGGTCTTCCTCAGAGTGGTCAGAGTGGTGATGTTGCTATGACGTGTCCAGTCAGCTGATTTAAACAGGTTTTGGCACTGTCTTCCTACCGGTGGAGGCATCTGCAGTCCGACTTCCTCAGGACAGTATCCCAGGTGTGTGAGAGTAAAAAAGCTGCCTCGTCCCGGTTTATAGATGCAGATGGCGCTGTCATCCTGCCTCCACCACGTATGAAAACAAACCTTTGGTCTGACAAAAAGAACCTAATAACATAATACTGAAACTACTTTATACCACTGACACAATAACAATAATGTCAAAGATAATCCCAGTAAACCTTTTTTAAATAGACAGTATAATTCAAAAAGGCTGAGCTGCAAGAAATAAATAGCAGAGTGAACCAATAATTAGCCATAGAAGTTATTCAACAGTAGAGCAGTAACAGTAGTGCCACCTTCTACAGCTCAAATCTCTTTGTATTACAACAAAAACACTCAAAATCTACACACAATAAACACTGAGCCCCAAAATAAATTGTTGCAGCTTTCATATACTGAAGGAGAAGTCAGTATAGTACTTATTGTGACAGGCCTGCTTACAAGGATGTTCTTATTACACAACCTATACTTACTATACGAACCCGCACGTCTCACCTCAAGTCCTCTGACATAGCAATAACTTTGTCATGTGAGTCATGTCAGTGGTTGCATCTGCTTATCTGCTTATTTACAGTTTGTGTTTGCAAAACAGAGAACCAACAGCCAAGTCATTTATATGTGGTAAGCATATGTCTGTAATGATAAAAAAAAAAAGCAGAACAAATTTCTGCTCAGTTTCATTTCTCTCCAGCGACTAGGTCTGGTTTGCAAGAAGCCCTAAGCCCTGCGAGTCTGGGCACCAGCCAATCAGCGAAGAGCCATTACATTCTGTGTTGGCAACGATTCCCGAAATTGACGATTTAAAGCCCAAACAAAGAGAATGTTTGGTGAATTTTATCAAGGGGAAAGACATTATAGCCACACGGGGCTCAGTGCAGCTGTTGCCCATTTGCGCTTTGCAGACACCCTGCTCCACTGGCTCAGGGTTCTCTCTCTCTCACTCTCTCACTCTCTCTCTCTCTTGCTGTCTCTCAAGTCCAAGATTAGTCCTGGTTTAGTCATAATTTAGACCTGGTTGAGACCTGGTGGAGTCCTGGGGTAGTCCTGGTTTAGACCTGGTGTAGTCCTGGTTCCGTTACAGATGCAGTTTGCTGCTTTGGCTGAATCCGGTGACGTTGCCGTACACCTGCTAAAGGCCCTGATGAAACCAACTCAAAATCTGATTGGTTGAAGCAACAGTTTCGTTGACATGTATTTTGTGTTCGAGGGCCTGCAGAATGGATTGTGAAGGCTTCTGCAGACTTCTTTGACTTTGACTTTGCCTGGCAACAAATGCTGGCTGAAATGTGATTGGTCAAATGCTTTAATATGAAAATACATGTCTGGAAGCAGCACAATCATCAGAAAAGCTCTGAAAGGAAATGGACAGACCATTTGGAATTATTTAATAATAATATAATTAACATCAGTCTGTGATTCAGATATTTTTTTGGGCCAGCAGAGAAAGCCTTGCAGGCTCTGACGGCCACCACTGCCTTAACCATAGAATGTATAAAGAAGTAAACTAAGGTGTCACCCACAGCGTTCGTCTCCAGTCAAATGAAGCTCATGAGGCTGGCAGTTATAGGAGCGAATTTGGAGCTAGTTCAATATTCCATATCCCATTTTTAAAAGTTTAAAAATCTTGGCCAGATCAGAGAAATTTGCTGTGCATTTAGTGGTATATGATGATGAGTTCTCTCTTGGCACAAATTCGAAATAAAAACAAACAAATCAATCAATCAATGAATCTCTTTTTCTCAATAGATTTGGAAGAAATAGAAGTAGGAATTTATTTACAGACAGAATGGCTAAATAAATACACCACCAGCTAAATAAATACACCAGGATCATGTAGAGCGGGATTTTAAGACGTTTAAGAGAATTGACGAACCCTCACAGCAGCAGTTACAGAGAGAGGGGTGACAATTATTTCAGTGTAACGTCAACTGGAGCCAGAGTCGATGGATCCAGAAGTGCACCCATGCACACTTCTTATTTGGAATGTAGCAGCTTTTGTGTTAGCTATGTCCATATACAGTCTATGACCTGAATGTTAACTTAATAATCAATAAACAATCAATTCTCTCATGCACGTACCTGTTTTTGTGCTGAAGTTGTACCTGGAAGCTGATTATCATGCAGAACATTACAAGGCCTGTTATATCATTGACTATTCTGTATTCATTAACAGTTAATGTTCAGTCCCTCCGCTGTAAAATCAGCCTCGAACATGAATGGAGCAGTGGGGCTATGTTTTGTTCGTTGATTCAGTGTGGAAAGGTTGAGTGGTCCTCGCTAATGTCCTTCCCCAGAAACAGCTGTCAATAGGATCGTTGAAAGCCGGGCACTTTTACTTCCTGCTCACATGCAACATTATTTGAACACGATAAAAGATTCTGACTTAGACTTAGACAAGATTTGATGATCCACAAGTGAAATTATTTGGACACAGCAGCTCACACATCACAATAGAATATAATAACAAAGAGCCAAATTATAAAAAATCTAATTCAAAAAGTTTATTGTCAATTTTTCATAAGAAACATGAAGAATCGAAATTGTGTTTCTCTCTCCTAAGTGTATAAACAAATAATAATAAATAGTATAAAAAAAGTTAAAAGGTAATAAATTCTAAATAAGTAGCACAAATAGCAAGAGACTGGTGTCAAAAAAGGCATAATTATATAAATGTATGTGTACAAGTAAAATTAAAATATAGAAATTTAGCAATACAGATATATTATATACAAAAAGTCATACAATCTTGAAAATGTGTTTAATTTCACAGACATAATCAAAATGTACATTGTTAAATAGTTTTGTAGCATTAACTTCTAAACAGTTTAACACATTTATTTATTTATTTATTTCATATAGTATAAAAAGATATCAACAGTGTCTAAACATCAAACATACAACAAATGAATGAAAAGGAGCAGAAAGAAGAATAATCTTAAGTTCTT